CTAGAACTTGGACCAAGTTTTAGCATCGTGAACACAGGCCTTGAGAGACAACTTAATGCCGTCCTAAAGATGCCTTTTAGACATGCATGCTGTCTGGGATGTTACGACTTGTTAGATAATAATGGATAGTAACGAATACAAAATGTTCTTTTTATCAAAAACGATCCTACTACGATAAAAATATGATTTGTATGATAAAGTACAATTCAATATTTTGTAAGATTTGTACTCTTGATCTCTTATTTTGTGTCTTGTGAATGGAACAGTGGGATATCAATGCTTTAAAAACCAAATTTACTTTGCACAATTAAAAGGATATTTTGATTTTCTAGAAATGACGTTTCATGCCATCTTGACTTTTAAATGACTTTTTGTTCCGCTTGGAAATTTTTCATGTACATTTGTGTGTGCCAGAAGAGCTTATGACACGTAGTATTACTTTGTATTATGCTCTTGCCTAACACGTAGCGAATCAGTTATACTCACGCGCACCATTATGTTAGCAGTCATCTGTAACTCGTGCAGGAGCGGACATAACTGTATATTTTACAGCTTTCTATGTCTTGCAGAAGCCGGTGAATTTGTTATTAAGGCCCAGGTCTTAGCTGGTGGCCGCGGCAAAGGCTGGTTCGATAATGGATTCAAGGGAGGTGTACATCTTACCAAAGAGTGAGCATTGGTGTAATTAAAAAAAAAATTTTAAGCACTTTGCAATTGAAATATTTTATTCAATAGATAAACCTTCATCACAATTTATTCTCCAGATAATAAAAAATTTATTTAGAATTTAACTGTTTAGCTTTTAAAGAGCATTTACAGACAATATTTTATTTGAAATAAAAAATTACTGGAATATGTGCATGTTTTTTTCACGTTTTCTTATAAAACATATGGTGTATGTAAATTATATATTGTTTTCAATGTTTTCCCTTCTAATAGCCGCGACGCCGTTGCAAATTATGTGAAGAATATGTTAGGTCATCGACTCATCACTAAACAGACTTCAAAGGATGGCATATTGGTGCAGAAAATTATGATAGCCGAGTCGGTGGATATCGCGCGTGAGACTTACGTCTGTATTCTCATGGATCGTCAGCACAACGGGCCAGTGCTAATAGCGTCTCCAGCTGGTGGAATGGATATCGAGGCAGTTGCAGAGAAACATCCGGAACAAATCAAAACCGTCCCCTTGGACATTTATCACGGGATCGATGATGAAATAGCAAAGGATGTGTGCACCTTCCTGGGATTCTCTGAGACGGATATTCTTAATAAAGCCATGTACGAATTGAAAAATCTATGGAAGCTATTTGTGGATATTGACGCCCTGCAAGTTGAAATAAATCCGTTGGTGGAGACGACGGACAAGCAAGTGGTAGCGGTAGATGCAAAAATCGCCTTCGACGATAATGCGCAATTTAGACAGCGAGACCTATTTGCCTTAGAAGACGTCAGCGAGAAAGATCCCAGAGAAGTGGACGCGTCGCGATTTAACTTAAATTACATTGGTATGGATGGTAATATAGGATGTCTAGGTAAAGTATATCACATTGTTGACATGTTTCCAATCAATAAATTAACTGTCGATCGAGTGCCATGTAGTCTAAATATATAAGATGTAATATTTTTGTACGTTTGTATGTGTAGTAAATGGAGCTGGCCTAGCTATGGCTACAATGGATATTATCAAATTAAATGGAGGATCACCAGCTAATTTCTTGGATGTTGGCGGTAATGTGAAAGAAGACCAAGTTTTCCAGGCGTTTAGAATTCTCAGTGAAGGTATGTAACATGCAGAACAATTTAGATACAATTGATATAAACGTGAAATGCAAACTAATTTCTGTTTTTTTCTCCCCATCAGATCCAAAGGTTAAAGTCATTCTCGTTAACGTTTTTGGAGGTATCGTGAATTGTGCAACGATAGCAAAAGGAATTATCGCAGCCTCGCGAAATTTAGGACTTAAAATACCGCTGGTTGTAAGATTGGAAGGTAAAATATCTTAATCCCCCATCTTTTCTCCTATCTTAAGTGTTTGATTGTCTTTATCATTTTTAAATCCTAAAAAAGTGTCAACTTTCAGCAGGTTTCGTTACTGCTTGATACCATTTTTTGCTTTCGATTAACATGGAAGCGAATAAGAATTTTATTTCAATGTACCAATTGTTCCTTAAGGCTGGCGTTATTATAATGACATTTTTCGGTTTTTACGAAGAAAAATACTTAAGAAAACAGAAAAATAAAACGATCCCCGAGCGGTAACAAAACCCGCTAAAAGGTGTACCCTCCTCTATGATATTGTTTTTGTGTTCTGGTAATAGTTAAGGTTTATAAATCAAGACTTTCAAACAATGTATTTGTTTCTTAGGTACTAATGTGATAGAAGCCAAGAAAGTTCTGTCCGAATCTGGATTGCCCATTCTCACAGCGAATAATTTGGATGAGGCGGCGAAAAAAGCGGTAATCTCTGTAAAAACATAATCGTATCAGTATGACTGTATGCTATCGACTCATATTTGTCTAAGACTGGAAATCAGTTCTTCTAATGTAAAGAAACAATAACTTGACGCGAACAAGGGGTAGGGAATTGTTTACGAACGTCGTTTCTTTTTATAACAAGACGTTCCGTGCGCATACTGTTATATCGATTACTTTCTATGTCATGTGACTTACGTAGTAAACGTATTCGCATAAGTTCAAATACGCATCTACAGTGCTGCATATTGTTATATACTGTTGTTGAACTTTGTCTTCGATTCAATCATCATTCATAGTGGAACGTACATTCCGATTGCACTTCTGTTAATATCGGATTAATATCGCTAAGATAAGCAGCTGTTTTTGTTATTCTATAAAGAGGTAAAAGATTGTATTGTTTCTAGAATTTTAAAACTCATTTCAATTCTGTTAAAACGAGATCGGTATGTGTATATTATTGTGTTGCGTTATGTTTACGTACTGTAATTGAAATCGCTGATTGAGACATTTAACGTATATGAATTGTAGAGTAGTGGTGAATGCATATATAGGTTCTGGCTTATTGTTAGTCTCGAGCTCAAGTTGTTCTTCAACATTTATTTTGTAGCTAATTCAGATCGATGACGTAGGATTTCCGTTTGCTTGTTATTATTTCATTATAATTTACATGGTTAATTTATTAGGTAACTGTATGATTTGTTTTTATGAGCCACTATTAAATAATGAACAAACTATTGCATTAGTCCGCGTAATTGAATCCGGCAACATTTATTGAATTGCTCCTGCATGTATATACCATATGTGTACGTCCGATTTTATATCCTTTATTTAGTTTTGTAATTATGTTGTAAATAGATAAATTTTTATTTAAATTGGTTTATACTGAAAGAGAAAATAAATATATTTCAAATTTCCTTAATATAAATTCTTATTTCTTTTGTCTTTTTTAGCTCTTCTAGTTTCATTACTTAGAGTCTCATTTGTGGAGAGAACTTGATTTTTACTTTAACTCAATAGGATTTAACTGACATTCATAGAACAAAGCTCAAATAGCTTCGAAAAATAAGTATTGAAAGAATGTATGAAGAAGGTGAGTTTACATTTATATTCCTAATTTATTATCTTCATAAAAGTGCATCGTTACCTTCCGCAGTTTTGTTGCGCTTTACAAGCGTGTTTGAATATTTATAATGTTCTCGGTTCATATGGCATTTTTTAATTATTTTTGTTAGATACAAGCATGTTAGATCGAAGACGACAAGGGTCCATGAGTAAGGCTGTAAATTCACTCGTCGCTTTGAATCATCCGTGCTAACTGCCGTCGTCGAGAAGTTACCCGAGGGCTAATTAAATCCCCGAGTTCTAGCGAAGCGAGTAACGAATCATCTTCATCTCGAATGTATCGAAGACTGAATCCCGCGTGTTCAAGGCACGCCGGTCGCGCGTGGCGTCGCGAAAGGAGGAGCGGCAGCCGCGCGTGAACGCGCGATCGACATTTCGCCCATGTATGGTCTCCGCGTCTTTATAAGTAGAAACTCTTTCGCCGGGCAGAAGCGATAACTCGCTTTGAGCGCGCGTCGCGCTCGCCTGAGAGATCGGCCCAAATATGGGCAGTGATTTTTAGCATAAGGTCCCGGCCGTAGCAGACTTTTTCTACCTTTCGCATGGTGCGCGTTAGTGGGTCGCTCGTTTTATAGCTAGGCATGCAGATCGATGCGCGTGTAATGTACAGCGTAAAAATGTGCGGGAGGTGCGGAGGTGCGTTTTTATTTAAAAATAAAAAAAAATATGCCTCGGTGGTCGAATTGGTCGAGAGGCGCGCCTAGAGTGTAGGGAGGTCCAGGTTCAAACCCTGGCTGAGGTAATATTTTTCGCAGTGAATTTCTTTAATTAGAACTCGCCAGCCATTGGTCGTCATGCAATTCTTCTACATTGTTTAATCAATTACTGGCGTTGAATAATCCTCTACGTTAAAAATAAAGCCTCTCTTAAAATAATCGTTTCGTCGCCCCTTAAACATCTCGCCGACTTGAAGCACGATGGATACACTGCGTTAGCATCAGCTTCCACGTGTTCCGTCTCGAGATTCCAAACGCCGTTTATCCATCGGGCGTGTGCATTTTCGTCAGCTGTCCTCCAATCGTTCCCGAGATTTTTGCGTTGTTTGCGAGCGGTCGCGGTGGCGAGAGTCGCGAATAAGCGAATGATCGATAATTAATTCGTCGCGACACGCTCGTGTTCTCCAGGAAGGAACCCGGGGGGGGCAACCGCTAAAACCGCATGTAAGAGAAGGGGGATTCTGCTGATGGCGAAAGATCAACTTGATATCATAATATAGTGCGCGGCGCGTAACAATGACCGTCTTAGTTTTCTCTTCAGTGTCAGGCCAGCGCGAGCGGGTGACCGACTCTCGTCTCGTTTCGCTCTTCCCCCTCGTATACGAATTTAAACCCGATCCTTCTCGCGCGCGCGTCCACGTCTCTCCCGCGAAGGGAGAGTGGGCGGTGGCGGGACCGGGGACGACCCCCCCGATACGTGCGTGTGCGTATATATAGACCGACCCCCCTGCCCCCTCGGGCCCAAGGGGACGGCGAGGGAGCGCGTACTATTCTCGGACAACTTTACGGATCCGAGTTAACTTCTTTCGACGTATGTTCGACTCCCGGTTCGCGGACGGCGTAAACGTCAGTAATCGCCTGCGAACCGCGCCGTGCCGATCGAGAGCGTCGCGTCGATCCCCGACCCGGAGAGATCGGCCGCCCCCCCTGTGCATGTAAGATCCGCGCCGGCGTTCGATCGCGATTAACGACTCCGAGCGAGGACGATAAACGCGGGCACTGAGAAAGTAACGGGAGCGGAACAACGGAAACGTGGCGAGAGACTCCCCTGGGAATATTTTACTGAAAAGTAATGCAATGAAGTTTTGCTGAAATGCACGCGAAAGACCTTCTCGCGCGCGCGACCGATCCCGTTTCGTTATTATTTCATCGGTATTTTGGTAAGAGTTCCGTGAGATTACTTCGACTCTTTTTCTTTCACAAAAAAAAGTAGCAATTTTTAGCTCAATTCAGTAAATTTCGTATCTAGTATTTCTTACTTTTTTAATTACTTTTCAAGTGGTGCATTAACTTTTCTTACATCTTGTGGTGTTACAGTGAACTTTATAAGGAAAGTTACGATCTATTTTGAGACACGTTCAATTCTTCAATGGCTTTTATTTCATTTTTCATCGATCTCGTGGTACTTTTAGTAAAATATTTCCATCGGGGTTCGCTTCTTTCCTCTCGCGGTCTGAAAACAGTTTAAAAACGACGATCGTCCTCGTTTTAACATATCGACGCAAACCCATCTTTTTGGCAGAGTGTTCCTTTATATTGCATCAATTTTAGTTATTGCGACTTTTCATTTTCCATTTATTGATGATCAAGACCGAAGCAGACTTTTTGTTAGAAGACGCGTCAAAGTCTCACTGTAGAAAATCATCATTTCGTTATCTTCTCGCGGGATCTCTTTAAACGTTTATATCCAGTTGAAGCGCGCGGTAAACTTTTATTAGATAAAATTCGATTCTAAATTTGTCGCGGAACTTGTCATTACGATATTTCTTGGGTACGCGATATTGTCATTACAGTATCGCGATCTAGAGGCGGGCAATCACATAAATCAATTTATCAAGTTTATCGATGTAACTTGACCTCATTATTAACGGCAGCAAACATCTCGCTGCATTCTTAGTGCTCCAAGTGGTTTTCCTTCAAGACCCACTTGGCCAAACAATTGCTTTAGATCAATTACAGTGCACGTGCACCGATCATATCCTAGTAGCACAAGTTATTGGGACAATACTGGTTGCAAACTGCTTACCAACATAAGCATTTGTAAAATAGTTATCCTGTGGTTTATAGCGCGTATTGAATTCCGATATTACAGGCGCACACAGTTTTTCGTGGACCACTGATAAGTCAGTCGTACAAAATAGAGGACTCTTTCGTCCGAACGAGCGAATTTGTGTGATTTTTTAAAATTGTCTCGGAGTACCGCAAATTTATTGAAAAAAATGTGCCTCTATGAATTTCGTATTCTTTTTACAAATTTACATGCGCATCCGCTGCATATTTAAGTAACTAATTTTTCGCCGATTGTGCAAGGTAAACTTCTGAAAAGTTTGTAAATATAATAAAAGGAACGGTTTATCGTGGAACACACGTTGACGCAGTAATCAGTTTAATAAGCTTATTAAAAATGCCTTTAATGAATATAATCGTATATTAAAAACCAACGAACTGGTATTGTGATGAATGATTTGATGATGTAGATTAATCTCATTTTTACTAGTGTTCGGTTCGTAGTAGAGTGACTGGCCCCGGGGTTGGGGGGCTGCAGGGAGTTTATTCTTGAGATGTTCTCCAAGATTCGGAGCCCCCCGGCTACTGGGTCACCGCATGGTCGCTCAGCTGACGAGGCTGTTGATAAACATTAGGGACAAAGCAACGCGAATTGAAACGAGGCGAGGATACACCCGCTTCGTATTGCCTTGTCTCAAATGTTGGTGTCTCTAGGAAAGAAGCAGTGGAAAGGGCGTGAAGTCTAACGGAAGACACACTTATTGTGCATGCAATTAGAGAGAAATATGTAGGTACATGACGACTCTTTTTATTTATTTGAACATTACTTATATAGTTCGATTGAAACGAAAATGCGAATCGTACTTTGATGCGGATGAACAGATACTAAAATCTCTCGATTCGATGACAGCTTGATCGGACTACATTCGAGTGAAGTGGTATCTTGAATCTCCTTCTTGGCTCCGGAGTGCCGCGATAAAAAAGAATCGTATTTTAACATCATCGCGTCATCTTGCCACAACTTTCACAGATAATTATAGATAACAGTGTACCGTGTAAACATAGTATCGCCGTGAATTCTATCGATGACATATTATTTATGCCACATGGTGACATTTTACATGTAAGAGGCACCAGGGAACCAGGTGATTATATAAAAACCTGATTCTTAAATCGCCAAAACTTTTTGCAGGAGAGTCAGGAATTTATTCCGTTTATTTCATCGCGACGCCGGGATGTTAAATCGCGAAATGTATTTCACGTTTATATTGAATTTGTTATTAAATTGTACGCGAGTGTGTCTCGACGCGATGTCAACTAAACCTCTCTGTAAAAAGATAACTTTGATCGCGTTATCTGTTCAGCGTTTGCAGACAACAATGTTCAGGCTTATGAAGTTCATCTTTCGGATGTAATATCAGACCTTGGGAAAAAAGTCACGTATACGTGCGCGTACCAAAAATAACTTGGCATCTCTCGCCGTGCGCCGCGATTCGTAATTTAACGTGCGTCCGATTAATTTTCTATTATGCGCAGAAAATTCGATGGGCCATTTGTAGAAGACGGTGATATAACTTTGAAGATTTATTTCTCGGATGGGTGCCTTAATAAATCGAGATGCAATACTTTTCCCTTGTCTCCGCCTGTGATCTAAATCCGAGCGCTTTCCAGTGGGAAATATACTTGAATAAACTAATAATAAATGTATAGAAGAGTGTGCGTAAACAAAAAAGACACACGAGCCATTTCCTCGGAATGTGTCGCTATTTATAATTAGGTGTTTTATTTATGGATAGGCCAAACGCGTAAATCGCGTTGAGGCTGGACAGCTCGAACACGTGCGCGAATCTTCACTCAAGCGAGGCTGATCGATTCCATGCACTTTCATAAGCTTGATTCGATCTGTTGCATCCAAAAAACGAGATGTGACAGTTTGATTGATGAAAAGTGATATATCGTGTTCGCATCACTTAAACGTGTGTCTCTATATCGAAGTCTTTTATTCTTTAAACAGTTCCCTCTGGATCGGATTATTCCGTTTTCTTTTTGAATAACGCACCGATCGCCATTTTCAACATAAATTACAACTGAAAAAAAAACCCGATCAACTCGCTGGCAATTTTTTTAATCACGACATTTCGCGGCGAATCGTCGCTGCGAATTAAGACGAGAGATTGTCTTGAAACGTATAAAATTTAACAAATTGGCGGAAAGAGCCAATACGTGAGCCAAAGCGCCAGCAGGAAAGGACGTTACCCATTTTTATTAATTTATTATAAACACTTTATTATAAAAAAAAATATTCTAATTGGTACAAAATTTATGATCGATATCGATTTTCTTTTAGCGCCGCGAGGCATGCGTCTCGTTCCACATTCGATCAGTTCGCCGGCAAGTTTTTAATCACGACATTTCGCGGTGCAGGTGAATCGTCGCTGTGAATTAGGACGAGAGATTGTCCTGAAAAGGCGCTTCAAGGTGAGGACACACCGCTACCAAGGAAAACCTCTCGGACCGACGCATCCTGAGTGATCCGGAGCGCGATCTCCGCTGGTGAACGCAGATTCGGTGACTCGTTCAGCAGATCGCGTGGAGAAACGGAGTCGCTCCAGCTGATCTCGGATCCCACACACACGCACGCGCTCACGCACCCACACTGAAGAAGGTGCGTTCGATTCGCCGACACACGTACGTACGGCCGTGCAGGTAGGTTCACCGACGTCCACCTCTTCTCATTGTTGCGCAGGTGTGTGTGTTTGAGTGTGGTGTGCTCGTGCTAGCGATGGACACGATGCTCTTTCGAGTGAAGTCGACGTCTGTTGTCAAATAGTCACGTGGATGGAAAAATGAGTAAACAATGATGAAAAAAAAACAACGGATAAAAGTGCATAAATTATGTTCAAGTCGCCTTTGTGCAATTATTTATCCAAGCAAATAAAGATTGCTCCTCGTGTTTTCATTGAATCAATAGCTTGTACGAAATAATGTTAATAGTTTCCTAAACTTTTTCGAGGAGCGATTCAAATAATGTTTTTTCTCGTTATGTGTAAAGTTAGTGATGTTACGTAACAATTAAATGGATTTTTTATCGTTGCACCCGCGTGAGCCAGCAAGTCCGTCCTGTAATAAATTTTATTATCTATCTCAATTAAAAAGAAATAAAGTCTATCTCAATGTTCAAAAATACAATACCGTATTGTTTACAAACCAATTTTAATTGAATGACAGGTTAGTGAAATTTCACATTCGAACGTTCATTGTGGAAAATCCGATTAAATTAAAAAAATTCAAATTAAATCCCCACGTGAATTCGAAAGTCGGCTGGTGTGTCGACGAATAAGTCAATTCCGAGCTGATGCACGTCAGCAGCAGACGTCTATGCCACTGGAACGAGGCTCTTTTAAATCTTGGAAACCAACAGTTTGTGCCCATCGCTACTTCTCGAGTCACCAACACAGCCACGTCTCGTCCTCGTCATCGATAGCACTCGCAACTACCACCACTGTGATCCTTAGGCACCAACACAGGGGCGCGCACCCCACCACCCTCGTACGTGAGAGCGTAGCAGCGGACCAGCCGATAAAATGAATGAGAATGATAAGTCAGTTAAGTGCGAGAACTCCGCCGAGGAGGAGGAGGACGAGATGTTCGAGCGCGAGCTGGCCGAAGACGCGCAGTGGAAGCGAATTCAACAGAACACCTTCACGAGATGGGCGAACGAGCGGCTGAAGGCGGCGAACAAGCACATCGGCGACCTGGAATGCGACCTGTCCGACGGTCTCCGGCTGGTGAGCCTCATCGAGGTGCTCTCGCAGAAGCGGCTGCCGAAACACAACCAGCGGCCCACCTTCCGCTCCCAAAAATTGGAGAACGTGTCCGTCGCCCTTAAGTTTTTGGAGGACGAGGGCATCAGGATTGTCAATATCGGTGAGTAATCCCATGTGCATGCTGGATCCTACACATGCGTCGCAGAATAGATTCGCCCTTTCTTCGTAGTACTAGGAAGAATCCAATCGATTGATCCTGAGTAGCGCGACGAAACGTCAATTATACTTATTAGCGAGAGAACAAAATTTAAGAAATGACAACGCTGTACCCCCGTAATTGTTCTAAAGAGTGTGTATAAATAGCTAAATTGGGACAATTGCAATGCCGTAAATAGTTTGCTCCTTTTATTAAAGAGGAGGCAAAGGCGGTAATTGTGAGTGATAGTAATTGCCACGTTACTTTTCATATTCAGATGAAGTATAAAACTATTCTGTATAAAACAATCGTTGTCGACGAAAATATTCATTTACTAAGGTTGCACCGTAATCAATTTGGATGTTAATTAGCAAATAATTTAGAGAAGCGGGCGCACAATAATATCTTTATTTATGTAATATTTAGCGAAAATTCATTCCAACGAGTAATTTTCGGTATACTGTCGATTTCCAGATTTTTTAAATTATAATCTTCAGGTTTTTACACTGCCAGCCCTTCGATACGTTACACCACCACGTGGTAGTTACGATTACCGCGAGTGACGTGAACAGAGTCTGCGTCGTTTCACGGATTCTGCGTAGATTGAATTTATCGATCCGTAGATTTTTGTACGTCAAGAATTCATAGGTTTCTTCAGGATTTCGAAGGAAATGTATGGAAATGATTCTAGTAGAAATTGATCGAATTAACACGTAGTGTTATACTGGAATAAAATTAGAATTTAACGTCACAATTTTCTATTTATTGACACACACACAAGCAATACGAATATATTAAACACATTACAGGAACAGGTACTTTCTCATCCGTTTTTCTTTTACTATAGTATGAGCAAAGTTGAGCATTATTTATTCATACGAAATGTTACTCCAAATTGCTGTTTAATAAAATGATTATAAATAGCTGCTGTTTAATAAAGTAATTATAAACAGCTGCTGTTTTTAGTAAAATAATTATAAGCAGACTTTAATATTATTATTATAGGTTAATTAGTAATTTGACATCAGTGTTAATTTGTGCCATCTATAAGTTGCAATTGATTAATAGGTTACGTTTTTCGCTTATTGTTAGCGAAAAATATTAAATAAATATTAAATAAAAAATTACATAAAAATGAAATTTTTAATGACGCTGTGGAAATAATCATGAACTATAGAGATTAAATGATAAAGGAATGTATAAGAGCAAATATAATTATCTACTCTACATAGAAAATGGATAAATTTAGTACTAGAAAGGTCTATGTGCGAAGGAAAGAGGCCGCGTTGGTCCTGGGAGAAAACAAATTATTCGCGGCGCATCATACGCGATCTTGAGAGAAATCTCAAAGACCGCGAAATCTCTAATTATATACATTTTCGGCAAATAATTTAACTTTTTAAATCGCGACGGAATTGTTCGTTTATTAAGTACGCGACCTACTATTATAATCACATAAATACGGAGTACAAGTTTATTTAATTTAAGTGAATTGAAATTAACACAACAAGGCTAAGCGAAATCCGTAATAAAAATTTGAAATATGCGCTTGACTGCGTGATAAAAAATGCATTCGAAAGCTATGAAGGGTGATTAGTCGGTGAAATTTGAGTACAGGCGTCGTCGAGTAATTAATCGCGTGTTTCGCTTACGTGGAGATCGATGTAGATCTGACTGATAATGCTCGAAGGAAATACTTGCGACATTGTGCGGCGCCCATTGAGATTTGATCAACATGCGATCGCGATTATAAATTGAGAAGAAGTTTAATGCAATTACTCTGACTCCTCGATAAGCGTATCATTTAATTTCACGGCTTTAGAAACAGATTTAAACTTGTTTTAATACCGTGACATTTAGAGAACGGAAAACTCTATCGGTGCACAGCGAAATGTTGCGGCAAGATATTTCCTTATTACCAAATGACAGATGTGCGGTTTGGTATAATATGCGGAATATTTTGGCGTGTCCCTACTTTCGAATTTGGGATCAACCGTTTTAGAGCGCGGATGCATCGAGCGACGAAATAAAAGCGATTGTAGAGCATAGCGAGAGGGTTGTGGATCGATGACGCTTGCCCGGGCTACCCCGGGAAACCAGAGAGTAGTGATGGGATAATGCTGTTCACGTATTTTTCGCGGGTGAACAAACTAACATTACATGATCGGTCTTTAAACCCCCGATCGTCTGTCTAAATCCGGTTAAAAGTCTCGCTAATGCGAAACAATCTTCAAAGTGTTCCATAAAATCCATATAGTTTGTCGAGTCTGCGGTATCAAAGCCCGACCACGTGTACATCTGTAACCACTTGTTAGAAGAATCTAGGGAGAGGCCAATAACGTCGAGTGATATCTCACTTGTGGAAGAAATCCTCATTTTTCAGTTTGAATCAAGCATTGTGAAATAAGCAAATTGCTCATTCGAGAAACGACGTCGTATAATTTTGACGTCTTGTATTTGCACTGGAAGATTAATGATTACTCGGAGGCGTCATTACAGTTTATCGCATCCTTGAGCAAAATATTCGACTGACAGTGACGCAATTGAATATATCATTGATGATGTCACTGTGTTCTCCAACCTGTAATTGTCACTTCGGGAAAGTAAGACGTGTCGATGAATGTATGTGGCGCATAAATGCACAGACATGCCTTGGGAAGCAGATTTTTAGAGACAATCTTTTTCTAAATCCGTTCATTCGTTCATTTCAACTCACCGATAGGCCTATGGACAGAAAACAAAGGGGTAATATCAGTTAAATTATGAATGTATAATATGAATATGTAAAATCATTATATTTAAATCATTACAAATTAAGTATAAAAACATCTATGCAAATTATTCGTGATTTATTAAACTGTTAATTTTACAAAAACACGCGGATGAAAATATAAACTTGAAAAGAAACTGTCCATGTTTCATAGAATAATATTTGTGTACCAAACGAGCCCTATTTATATATTCGTTTTGAATTATTTAAATTGAATATATTATTATTAACATATCTATCTTATTACATAAAGAGATAAGTTCATCTATGATTAAGATAAAATAATTAAAAGTTAATTATAACGTTTAGAAACTTTTCAATTTTCCCCAACATACACACACACACACAACAAAAATTTCCAACCATCGACGTATAGAATGAGAAGTAAAAGTGGAATTGATCGATGCTTAAATGGTCCGTTTCATTCATTTCTTCAATTCTCATCTTGTACTAGTGGAACCCGGACGTTTGGCGTGCATGATGGGCATTTTTCTGCTCACGGTACTTGAGATCTTTGCAAAACGCTGGTCTAAGAGAAGACTAACGTGCCTGATGGCCGTCGCAATCTCGGTCAAGACGTAATCGCAGGACTGTGGCATTAATGCCGCCCGGTTATCGAATATCAGCGGAAGCCACGCTCGCGCTATTACGCGAGGGGCACCGTGAGACAGGCTCGAGATATATCCCGCGGGGCCCACCAAGGAGCAAAAGAAGAAAAGTGGGCGGGACCATGTAGACCGGGTGAAGGTCAAGCTCGCCTTGGTACCGTGGACCTCTTTCTTCACGTTTATTACGTGACCAATCCTCGTCTCTCTCTCTCTCTCTCTTTTCGCCGCTAGTCAAATACCAATGCATCTCTGTCGTCGAGCGGAAATAATTCTCGGCATTTTTTTCCAATTCTGTTTTCTCGCAAGTTAAATCTTTGCAGCATTAATGTGACGACTTAACAAATATAAATATTTCGACTTTTATATAAGGGATTTATGAAACGTTTATGTGTGAAAAAGAGAAATTTTGAAAATGTCATCTTGTGCTGTAAGAATAATTTATAGCGATACAAGATTTACTTAATAACTCACTCTCGATGCCCTACATTTTTTATGAACAGCGTGTTACAAGCGTTATTCTTATCAAAATTTTTTTTCTAAATGACAACTCGATGGGAAATCATAAACATGAAATGACGATGCTGCTTATGTAATTACAGTATTTCCGCGCGTAATTTGCGGTGTATTAGGAACGATTACTTTCACTCTCAAACCTTGACATTAAACGACTATCCTCCATATACAATCGCGCGAGAGCGTATCTCCGCGCGCGCGCGTCAATTCGGATTTCCGATGATTGCCGAAATCTATTTGCCTGCCACATTTTCACATGCCTATGAAAAATAAACTTACCTTGCAAAACGGCAAATATTGAGCCCTGAGTTATGTGTCAGTTTTCCTCGGTTGTCTCCTTTATTTTTAGTACTTTGACGCTAAAAATTTTGTAACGTTTCACAACTACATAACAAATCGCAAATATTGTATTTCAGTTGCGGATTGAACGAAAATATTTCATTGACGTGAACTACTTGACGTGAACCAAATGGATAATGTAACTAATATAAATATGGCGTGAATACAAACTATTAATGTAAAAAGTTAAAATGTATGAAAGTGATGATTGTACTACACGGAGAGAATTTTCTCTTAAAATTTTCCTCGAAAATCATGTAATCGACGATATGGCATTTTGAAAAAATTTATGAGAATTTTAAAATTTTGCCATACATTTTTTGTAGTAAAATGTATGGTAAAACTTCAGAAAAACTCTCACAAATTTTTTTTTAATGCTATATTGTCCTACGATTACACGATTTTCAGGAAAAATTTTCAGAGAAAATTCTCTCTCGTTGTAGAATTATGTTGAATCAAAGAACATTGAGTTCACATTGGAGATGCAGTTGACAGACGTCGATCGCGCACCTTGACGCTGGAGAAGAGAAGGTCGCTTCGGCGAATTTATCTGACGAGGCATCCTCTCTGTTCAGTGAGGTAATCTCTCGAGGATCAGTGACGTCACCGTCTAAACTCGCTGTGGAAGACGTGTCGTTGAAAACGTCACGCATGAACAAGTGTACGGGCGATACTCCGTCCAGTCTTTTAATTGCACATTAGAATAACGACTCGTGACTCAACGACTCGTGGTCTTCAAAGATATGTGGAGCTATTTATATTATTACACGTACCTTAACGCAAAGAAAAAGTCAATATATACCGCGTGATTCTCTACTTAGTTAGTGTTAACTATTAAATTATCCTTAGTGGTTCGAAAACGTGATAAGTGAATGTACGAGATAATTGAATTAATCATTGCGATCGATTTCCTTCCTCTGTGATTTGCGACCCAATTTTCCTATTCGCCTCTCTTGCTTTTAACACCTTTGGTACTAAATACCTTCAAAATTTGGGGATGGCAAAGTTTACGCACCTTACTCTGATTCCACCCCGCTTGTCCCTCTTCTCTAATCTAAGCACCGCCGGAAACGGCGCTCGCGAAGAATTCGTTTGGGAGTCTCGTTTTACACAACAAAGATTCTCGATCCAAAAATAGATCACTCTGACTACCGTCGGCCAGATGAAGGAGTAATAAAGATGGCCCGTTTCTGGACTCGCGAGTTCTGATCGTTTCTTTTTTTTTTAAGAGCGATCCTCGGGTTCTCGGAACCTACGGTCCTTCGGTTCCCGTTGGGAGATTTTAGAATTCTATGCCGATGTTGTATATTTATGATAGGGACTAGACTGTATATTCATTACATCACCGAATCCAACTTTGAAGCTCGCTATTCACGACGAGCGCTCGAACAGTCGCCTCGTTAATGCGACGAGAAAGTAAATTTTTACTGCTGTTCTGCGAACGATATAAAACTTAAAATCTCTGGCTCGTGTATGCTTGTTTGAGTTTCAGCTTTTATTTTATTGATTCGTATGAATCGCGAGACGTGAAATAGTGGAAAATAATCCATTCAATCAATTGCGATATGACTTTTCTATAATACAATTTTTTGCAGAGGTATATTTTTGTGCTATTAATTGCGTGATGCGTGTAAGACTATGATATGCGTAGCAACTGTGACAATGTCGGTATTGAAAAAGTATCACTTACATTTCGAAAAAATGAAATATCTACAATGAATAGCTGGCTATTCATTCTAGCCATTAACACTAGGATCCCTACTTACAGCTGCGTGTTTTCTTAATGAAGATTCACCTGTTGCGTTTATTTGCACACATGGGCGCCATTAAAATTTGTTAAATTATTGAAGTCGAATGCCTGTCCTACTGTCGACATTTTTAAAAATAGCTACAGTGCGATCTCGATACATAGATGACAATCCCGTGAACGATTGTTTTATTATCTATACACTCATCTTCTACTTTCTCGATGTATTTATAATTAACTTATCATAACAACAAGATATAGTATTTAGTTACCATTGTTCATTACTGTCAAGTCACCAAATTTTATAACGGATTTCGGATAATTTTGTTGCGGGAATTGATATAATATCAAATAATACGAAGAATCGAGCTTTATAATTTCTACGTGTCTTACATCTCAAGTAATTTGTACAAAAGATCGCGTCCCACTGTAAGAATCATTCCTTATGAAGATCTATAGCATCCATAGCATTGAAAGCAAACATGTCTATTACCTAGTACCAAGAGGAATGCAATTGGCTTCTCCGGTTTTATTACTCATTAAGATGCATCAGTGACAAGTGAATTATCACTTACGGAAAAGCATTGCGTGAAAAATGTACAGAAGAAGTAATTCTTTTATATATCCTTCAAATTTTATTGGCATTCCGTTGCAAAATTTTCAGGATTTTCGCGTCCAATGTACGGTCATAATGAAAAATCGACTGACTAAAATTACACTTAAGACTTGTATCCTGCATAATTTAAAATATTTTATTTTATTTAAACACTAACATCCTTGGCTCTTATATTCTTATATTATTCCTTCGAATTGTGATTTCACGTTAGAGCCTTATGAATTTTATCGTTAAAAAATATTTAAAATCCAATTCTCACGTTCTCCACATAAATAGAGAAAATTCAATAGATTTATATATAAAATTAATTGTACCTTGTACCTCGATCGGTTTATTTCATATTTATAGCCGCGGTAAAATTTTGTGTCACTTGCGTACTGGAAACTTTCTCTACAGCTCGTCCGTAAGTACACGAGTGCACTTTTGCATTGCGGTCAAGTAAAATGCGACTCGAAGGAGAGGCTCGACAATGGGTATCCATTTCGAGTGTTGAAACAAAGGGATGGTATCTTGCATTTCACTCTCGTTTTTTTTCATGCATGTTACTTACGTCACCGCGTCGGCAACATTACAGGGTACTAAAGCGGGTATTGTTCCGTTTTTTAATGCAATTGTAGATGCAGGCTTGATGTCGCAAAAATATGCCAACAGGTTTCGAAAACGTTAGACTCGTGTATTATAATATTAAAATCTTAAGAGTAATATTCAATTTTTATATGGTACGAGATAGCGTTTCACACGAAATAACGTTTTTATTTCTATAAGAGGTTTTAGAAGAGTATTTTTAGTTCCGATAAGGACGTTAGTCTCTATTCGATTTATTGTTTGTCACGGGAAAGCCGCGAGATGGGCGCAAGACCGCGAACGCCCGAGAATCTCGGGGGCTTGGCGTCACGGGGTGAATTAGCTGGCGCTTGGCCGGTTCCGCGTGTCACGGTGTTAACTACGTTTTCGCTGACATCACTTGGTTAGCTCTCGGTAATTGCTGAAAATAGTCCGGATGAATCGTCACCGATGGCTACGAGGCGATTCCCCGTCGTGCAAACAACACGAACTTCATCGATGGCGGGACAATGTCGAGTGCCGGCGGATAACAGAAATAGCCGCGGCGGCTCGGATCCGAGCTAAATTCGCGCGACCGAGTGCATCCTCAGCGATTATTCTTAAGAGATTTACGACAATCGCGAGAACTCCTTCTCATTCTTACGAAGGATACCCCAAACGGGACAGAAAGTAATCATTTCAAAATCATAATTATGACGTCTCAAAAAATAATTATTTCTAGACAATCAAGATAATGTCATTTAACACTTTAAATAAAACATGACTATATTTTGACTTTCCGATAACTTTCGTCGAGAACAAAGGATACCGCTCGTGCATGCGAAATGATTAAAATCTCACGGATAGAGGAAAGTCCTCTATTATGAGATAGGTTTCTAATATGAGATAGCAGGGTTCGACACCCGAATTCAATCGTGAATCTTTTTACACGACGATTACACGACCTAACAATGAATTTTCCACTTGGTAGACTTCGTTCCGAGGGCAATCAATTCATGGTGGAATCAACCGATGAAGTCTATTAATTTAACAGAGACCCCGTTATCCCCATTATTGTATTTTACGAATTTGTGGAAATATTTGATTTTTGAAGCATTGATATACTGTGGAACGTCATGCATGCTTGAATGGTCGGAATTACGCAAATGTTATGCAATAAAAAGATGTCACTGGCTATCTTTAAATTATGCTAACTAATCCTAGAAATTTTCATCATACCACTGACAGACTGAAACCTTCCACTGCTTATATCTCGCATTAAGAAAGACATGCGTTCGTCTGCACGTTTCCATTGTGCGCGATTGAACATCGTTGCCGATTTATTTACGAGTTGTTTACTTCGGCTAAAACCAAGTGTTAGTTTTCGCCTAAGATTAGCAAACAAGATCTTTATATCAAAGATGACTCTTGAAATTGTCCACTCCGACCTGTTAATTCGTTGCGTTTCCGCAAGTTTGTAATACACGTTGTGTAATGTCTTCTGATTTTAATTATTTTTATTCTGACGAGCACGAGTTTGCCAGAAGTGTACCAATCATAATTGATACCATATTCTATACGAAATTCAGATTCTGCAGATATTCACGAGCGTCTGGCGATCGCTCAACATATGAATCACTGCTCCCCGAGGATCTATTAGCACTTTCGTTGCGCAAACACGCAACGCGCTTTTTCGTTAACGTTGCTTCGAGACGCGCATTGTGAAAGAACGCATCGTCTCGGTTCCATAAATGCATCGTGGTGAAATATTTCTCTAATAACGCCTACTCGATCTTACTCATGTCGGATAATTGAGCGGTGATGGATCTGCGGATGAATAATAAGACTACGCAACGGGGAGGGAGACTCGATGAAATCTTTTCGCGAAAGAAAGGAAGTTCCTCATTCATGAATAATAAATTTCGAGACAGTGGCATTTTTATAAATTATTATTCACCGTGGGTATTTGAATTGAAATAATACAACTTTGGAGTAAGAATTTTCTCTCTACGTGAACTTATATCTCGCAGTACGTCTCGAAATAAAAAGCAATTGTTACGTTAATCATTAGAATAAAATTTAATCTCTCGCGAATAGCAATTTCTCGCTGGACACTGCTGACAACGTAAGAAAGATTTGTAAACATAACACTTTTGAATCACGGCCAATTCGATGTTCTGTGTCCAGTAATCAAATATACAGAGTGACTTCTAAGCGAGGACCAAAAATGTAGAGGGATATTCCTTGGCTTATTTGAAGAAAATTGTCCTGGATAGCTTATTTGAAGAAAATTGTCCTGGATAGTTTCTAAAAAGCTTGCTTACGCAGAAAATTAAACTGCCTCTTCTCTTAATTCCGCAGACTCTTCGGACATCGTAGACTGTAAATTGAAGTTGATCCTCGGTCTAATATGGACCCTGATCCTGCACTATTCGATCTCTATGCCCATGTGGGAGGGCGACGATGGCGAGGACAAAGGCGCTACCCCGAAGCAAAGGCTGATGCACTGGATCCAGTCGAAGGTGCCGGACCTGCCGATCACAAACTTCACTTCCGATTGGAACGACGGCCGCGCGGTAGGTGCGCTTGTTGATGCAGTCGCACCTGGCCTTTGCCCGGATTGGCAGGATTGGAACCCGAAAGATGCGATGCAGAACGCGTCCGAAGCGATGGGTCTCGCTGACGACTGGCTCAATATTCCTCAGGTTCGCCGCAACATTATATAATTCTTTAATTATTAAACTTGATTTAGTAAGTTTTATAACCGATTTAACTTTGTCATGCTAAGAAACATTCTTTTAAATAACCGTAAAGAATTTATTGCGAAAAATACCACCCCAGTCGGTGTTCGAACTGGATTTCCCTCCAATCCGCGATAGGCGTCTTTATACGACTGTTGAGACATACGATGATATTTAGCGCAATAACTTGTAAATATTAAGGAAAGTAAAAATAAAGTTTCAAGTCCACGGAGGAGCGTCTCATAAATTACGTCATTTTGCAGCTCATTAAACCCGAAGAGATGGTGAACCCAAACATCGACGAGATGTCGATGATGACATACCTGTCGCAATATCCCAGCGCAAAATTAAAATCAGGTGCACCTTTGCGCGCCCGCACGAATCCAAACAGGTAGGAAGGAAAACCACCTGTGTACCTTCTATAGCGTTTAAACGAAAACGTGTTTCGTATTATGCATTTACTGTTGTTATTTATTGCTGATTATTTTCTTAATTTTAAATACTGTATTTCGTTTCCTTAAAATTATATTGCTCATAAAGACGACTACAGTCGGTGCTGTTCATTGTAATTTCAATTGCCTGAGGGTGGCAATGGCCGTAAATGATTCATTTTCTTTCTGTTTCGGCGTACGGTAGTCGGTAGAAGTATGAGAAACAAAGTGCGCGTGTAGATCTCTGGTATGGTTGATTGTGATTAATTAATCAATTTATTTCATTTCTTGGTCGCAGCATCCCACCGCCGCGGTAAGTCGCGCACTGATCATGTATTGTGACGTATAACGGTTTTTGCGCAATTAATGTCCGCCGCCTTGATGAGATCTACCTCTTAACCCAACACCCCTAATCATTTCTTTATACATATATGTACGTGAACGCTTGATAGAGTAAATCAGCTGTGGAGTGCGCGAGTAGCGAATACACACGGTTCGCAAATTTTCTGGCGAGGAAAGAGCGAGAGTTTGATTGGTATGATCCCAAGCAAAACAAGAAGTCAAGTTGAAGCCAAAATGGCATCATAATGACTATCGAAAGTCATACTTTGAATATGACTGAAAATTGATCGAATTATGTTTTTGAAATTTACACATGCTGTTTGATACGGTTCGCGATCATTTGAAGTTACAGTTAGATTATTTTCGATATCCACAATTGTATGCCAGTTGTCTGACTTAATTATGGTAATAATAGAGTAATGGGGACAAAGTGTTCTTTTTAAGAAAAATGGCACTATTGTAACAAGAATATAACTTGATAAAGTGCAACATTCAATATTTTGTAAGATTTGTATTCTTGAGCTTTTATTTTGTATCATGTGAATGGAAAATCTGGATATCAATGCTTACAAAATCAAATATTTTCACGTAATATCTGCGAGATTTTAATCACGTGTTGAATGATACTGTCTTGACTTTTTCAAGTTTTGATGTCATCTTGAACTTTTAAACGATTTTTTGTACTGCTCGGGTATGATACTGACAATGATTTTATACTTTTCAAAGTTTTTGCGGATAGATAGATCTTTCTTTTCTCGAAGCTTAATGTGATAGCATTAATTAATCTCTTATACGTGAAAGTTTCACGGAGAACCGAATTGAACTAACCGGATAGTGAGTGGTCGCAAGTTCTGCAGAACGTCGCGCGCTTGCAAATTGTTTTTGAAAAAAATCAATGCAAATCACCGCGCAATCACCGTGGCACAAAGCAACGCTTGTAACCGTCTGGCAAATGGATTTATTTAACGTATTGCTGTAACAACGTCGCGGCCACTGGCTGGCAGGTCGCAAATTATCTCTTCTCACAGTGTTTTCTTGCGCAGAGTACGCGCTTATGGTCCTGGTATAGAACCAACCGGTCCAATCGTCGGCGCACCTGCCAATTTCACCGTGGAAACCTTCTCCGCCGGCAAGGGTAACGTTGATGTCATCGTCGAAGATCCAAAAGGAAACAAGCTACCGGTAAGAATCTTTGCGTCTATTGAATGGCATTCGACCACGTATTCAAATGCAAAATATTTGGATCCTGTCTTAAAACATTGGCCCAAGCTGTGCAAATTATTTCCAAAGAGTTGGAATAGTTTTTTTAGTACCCTTGGTAGTATTCTAGTAAAATATAATTGGTTGAATCGATGTCGATGTGTGTTTACGAATGGTTGATGTCAAACGCTGATTGATATTTTTGTCATTTTGACTTCATCAGGATTGTTTTATGTTAACTGAATAATTAGGAATATTTCTATAAGATTTCTCTATGTTCTTTCGGCTAATTCTGTCTCTCTTTCTCTCTCCTACATCGAATGTATAAATAATATATATGCATATTGTACTTTTTAACTTTGCATTGATTCGATGTATGGTAGAGTTAGTCGAAAGATAATGAACATCTTACAAAAATATTTGCAATTTCTCAAGTAATATAAAAATAATCATGATAAGGTTGAAGATAACAAAATTCAATCAGTATTTGATATTCATCATCCAATTGATATCGATTCAATTAATTAATTTCTGGCTGAAAGTCTTTTGATGCGTTTGACATCTCATCTAGGATTTCTTCTGTGAATAATTAAATTTACGCAGGATTATAAAAGTAATTGGAAAAGTTAAAGGTAAATATAAAATCTGACAAGTCAATCACTGATAAACAACAAACAGTCTATTCCAATTAGACGTTTTGCTTTCAATAGTATTTCAATTTACTCAATTATCAAGATGACCAAAGTTAAAAGTTGCAAAAGATTGTTGTTGCGAAAAGGGACAATCCTTTACTAGAAGCGGATTAGACTTTCCAAATTTATTACCAAACGGAGAAATCCACAATGTCTTTAATGTCAAGCAGTTACTTATGTGCTAGCTATAGTCGATTGTCGAGCGCACCGGCGGAAGTTGGGAGATGTTTATCGCAATCGGAATAATTACGCCACAGGACGTGGACACGTGTGATGCAATAGCTATTTGTGTCTCTCATGACTATTACGTATTATCTGAACGTACGAGCGTTCGCGCGATGTATACGACAAGTGGAACGACCGCCGTCCTTACTCTCTGTGTCATATTCTGACGACGCTGACTCGATTGCTCGCTTTCCAGGTCGAGATCAGATTCAACAAGGACAGGAACCTGACGTACTCGGTTTCGTATACTCCGAAGATAGAGGGTCCGCACAAAGTGAAGGTGCACTTCGCCGGCAGGGGGATCCCGAAGAGTCCGTATACCGTTAACGTTGAGGGACACGCTGGTGACCCGAGCAAAGTCACGGCGAGCGGGCCGGGTCTGCAACCTGAAGGGATCGTCGTCAACAGACCTACTTTCTTCGACATCTTCACGAAGGACGCCGGCCGCGGCGTACCGGAAGTCATCATCCTGGATCCGCAGGTGAAAAACGATGTGTCGTTTGTTACACATTTCATTGCTGCATAATAGAATGGAATATCGTGCCGCTGAATCTTATTATTCCGTATGAAATATTTTCACGTGTAATTTAATTGCAGGGTAGCAAAACTACGGTGCCGGTAAAGCTGCGCCAGACCTCGCCAGACGTCTGGAGATGTGAGTACGTGTCGCCGGTGACGGGTCTACATTCCGTCAATGTCTTCTTCGCCGGCAAGCCTATACCCGGAAGCCCCGTTGGCGTCAACATCGCGCCGGTTTCCGACGCCAAGAAATGCAGGGCGTACGGACGGGGGTTATTGTCTACAGGCATCCGCGTCCAGGACATCGCCGACTTCGTCGTCCTCACCAAGGACGCTGGCGAGGGTGTGCCGGACATTCGCGTAATCGGTCCGGGAGGCGTCAATCGACCGGTGCAGTAAGTTCTTGTTCAGTTAAAAAACTATCGCTCGAGAATATATTGTTACTTACAAAATTTTATTCCTTGGTTTATGTCACATTTATTATTTCTATATAACTTTTTACACGTTAATGAGAGAGACTCAACTGCGCATGAAATTATCAAAATTATGTGCGTTTAAATTTGAAAGAGAAAAAGGGAAGGATGTGAAATGGGACAAATGTTGAAACATCTTGTGCCAGATGCTTAGCTATAAATTCAATTATTGCTTCCACTAATGATGTTGAACGAAATTACTTTAGAATGACCAAAACCGACGCCACGACTTACAAATGCCACTACACGCCGATCAAGGAAGGCCGTCACGTAGTGATGATCACGTATGGCGGCAAAGAGATTCCCAAGTCGCCCTTCGAGGTCAACGTGGGTCCTTACAAGGAGTCCAACATCAGGGCTTTCGGACCGGGTCTTCACACCGGCGTCGTCGGGCAACCGGCGAAGTTTACAGTAGACACAAACGGTGAGACTGGCGCTCTTGGTTTCTCCATCGAAGGTCCATCCAAAGCGAAGATAGAGTGCAACGATAATGGCGATGGAACCGCCGATGTTTCCTACCTGCCCACTGCGCCGGGCCACTACGCGGTCCACATCCTTTGCGATAACGAGGATATCCCTAAATCGCCTTATATCGCGAGTATTTCTCCGAAGGCCGACTTCGATCCGGAGAAGGTAAACTCGAGCTTCTATTTCGCAACCAATATTTCTTTACACATATATACATACATATAACTTTTATATAAACATATAATAAAATTTCTTATATTATTTTTAACGCATATAACTTGCCCGTGCACCCAAGCAAAACAAAAGGTCAAGATGATATCACTTAACACTTTTAATGAAACATAATTTGACTGTCTCGTAACTTCATCATGACTTCTTGTTCTGTTTTGGGTATGTACAGTATAGATTAGTTTTGCTTACATTGTGGGATATCTTATAGTAAGGAAAGCCTAAGACTTTTCACATTATTACGTGTAATAAATTTAGTATTGATCAAATAAGTAATGTTGGACCCGGCAGTGAAAAAAGTGTATCAAACGTGCTTTTTAGGTTGAAGTTCATGGACCAGGAATTCAGCCAGAAGGTGTTGCCAGGGACAAACCGACGCACTTTACGGTGGATGCGAGAAAAGCCGGTCAAGCGGCTCTGGAAGTCGCTATCCAGGATGCTCACGGAAGAGAAGTTCCACTCAGATTAGAGGACAAGCGGGACGGCACTGTTCAGGCGCATTATACACCTACATCTAGTTCCCAGCACGTTGTGATGGTACAACCAGAATATTAGTTTCGAAAATCTTGAATCGAATATTTGCTAATTTGGGTGATTCTGTCAAAATGAGGACAAATATATAAAACATTGTTGAAAGCCTCAGCGAGAGCACGACCGATAAAGTGCCTCAGTTTAATTCGACCGCTTAAAAGTATCTTCTTTCAGGTGAACTACGGCGGAGTGGCCACGAAGAAATCTCCGTACAGAGTTAAGATAGCGTCGCCCTTGAATCCTGCCATGGTCTCCGCTTTCGGTCCCGGTCTTGAGAAAGGGGTGAAATCGAACATTCCGACACATTTCAACGTCGACTGTCGTGAGGCTGGCCCCGGTAAATTAGACGTCAAACTGCTGAACCCCGAAGGTCGGGAGCTTCCAATTTCGCTAACGGATAACGAGGATGGCACATATGTCGTGGACTACATGCCGCCTCAACCGGGAAACTACACGGTGAATCTCAACTATGGCGGTCTGAAAGTACCCCAGTGTCCCATTAAAGTTAACGTTCAGCCTCACGTGGACGTGTCCAAGGTCAAAGTGGACGGCTTGGAACCAAGTGAGTATAACTGCCGAAAATTCTTTAAGTACTACCTAATATTTTGATTACCGCTCTCGGTTTATTTAAAATCAGATTTAATCACTTGGTAAATGCGTCAAAAATCGCAGAGACGCTCTCGAATCGGGATATTATACGCAGCATCTTGCCCTAGGAAATTGGAACGATGGTTGAATGTTCTTTGGCATAATATCGTGTCGTTTGAAATGACTAGCAAATCTGACGGCATGTCTTGACCGATCAGTAGCCGTTTATTATCATAATTTTTTAAGTATATGAGCAAAATACAATTTTACATTAACATGAGATAATCGAGAACATTTATCTTTCGTTATATTTGGTTTCAGTGAAATAATTCTGCCGTAATAAAAATTTTATGTTTTTATATTTTAATTTGGTAACTCGTTAAATGTGCGATTAGAGGATGATGAATAGGTGCAATTAGTTTCGTGACTGAAATAAGATCTTGCACTTAGAATGCACCAGTAGTGCATTAGCTCGTAAATAAATTGCGCCTGCCAAAATCACGCTGTTCCCGGCGATCAGAAGATAATTCTCGTCTCGCGGCATATACATTCTTTTCGGGGACCTTACGGGACGCTATCATGATGCGTGTATCTAGCCCAGATGATCGAAATACGCGTTGCCAAGGTCTCCCCGCGGATAGATATTTTGCTGGAGCGCGAACCGATGACTTATTTATAGCGGCGCTCGCGAATTCCTCACAGTTGACACGCACACAGTTTTGCGCCCCGTCTAAAAATATTGCATTTCGAGGAGGTCCACGCGTGTTGCGTCCTCCGCATAACTTTACCTGGAGCCCCGCGAAGGATGGAAGGTAGCAGCCCCGTCGCATTGAAACGCGTCACGATAAAAATCTAAAAATAAGCAAACAGCAACGCGTTCAAGAGATCAATATACATTTCTGTACGAGTAAATAATTATTTGTGCACGCTGAATAATATACCCGTTGTAACTGAATGCACTTTTTAGCTGAGACACGTTATCAGTGTTTCGTAACCGCGGGAGAACCTCTTCTTTGGAATACGCTCTGCCTAATTTACACGCGCCTTGTGGGCTTATGTATGTAGCAAGTGGCTTTTTCTTACAACTCGATGCATAGTATTTGAGATCTAACCGTTATGAGATAACTTTGCGCGACGAACGTCCGGCCGCATTTGCTGGTGAACGCCAGCGCATTATAATCCTTGGAGTGATTGTAATCATTCAAGCCTTTCTACATTCAATTCAATCCCCGTAATCGACGATCCTCTCCTCGGCGAGTACGAGCCGCGATTTCACCAGCAATGCGGTGCGACGCCCGTACGCCGCTCGCGGGCCGTCGTCCCGTCGCGCAAGCATAAGCGAAAGACGCATCGCGCGGCTCATCACGAGAACCCGCAAACGTCCTCGCAGCGGCCCCGGTGAACAGCCTGCAGCAGTTCCGCGTGATAACGCAGGAGGCGGGCAGGGCGGCGGACTTCCAGGTGGCGATCACAGCCCCGTCCGGCAATCGCGTCAAGGCACACGTGGTGCCGAGCCACGAGGGCTACCTGGTCAACTTTACGCCTACCGAGCTGGGCGAGTATCTGCTGGGCATCAGCTTCGGCGGCGAGCCGATCTCGAATCAGCCCTACCGGCTGACCTGCGTCCATGGCTCCGACCCGGGCAAGGTGCGCGCTTCCGGGCCCGGTCTCTCCCACGGCGTGGTGAACAAACCGGCCGAGTTCGTCATCGACACGCGCGGGGCCGGCCAGGGTGGCCTCGGCGTCACCGTCGAGGGTCCCTGCGAAGCCGCGATAAATTGCAGGGACAACGGCGACGGCACCTGCTCAGTCGCTTACCTGCCCACCGAGGCTGGCGACTACGGCATCAACATCACCTTCAACGAGCAGCACGTGCCGGGCTCGCCCTTCCAGGCCATCGTCGTGCCGGACGCGGACCTTTCCAAGATCAAAGTCAGCGGGAACGGCATCCAGCCACACGGTACCGTTAAGGAACGTCAGCACGGAGATCGGTTTATGCGATTGGAAATTGAGAGAATTGCTGTGACTTGCTCGTCTCTGATTTGCGCGATGAGTCTCGTAATGCGTCTCGGGATTTTGTGGGGAAGGATTAGCTTCAACAATTGTCGTCCGATTGTCGCGATTTCGATATTGATCCTCGAGGAACGTGTACGCCAATATTCGCGCACGTGGAACGAGTTTTGTTTAGAAGGAAGATACCTTTGTCGATAGAGAACGAGTAGAAAATCCCGATGATTATTCCGAGACGCGTTTATGTAGCGATGCATGTGTGTTACGATTGCATTTTTGGTTGGTTATCATGGCATTCCCCGCTTTGAGCCTTTCGTAGTTGTCTTTATCGTACACTTTATCGTGAGGCACTTGAATGCTTGAAGACACACTTGAGGACATGTTTGTATAAAGTATGTACGGAGCAAGGAACTTTTAAGTTTATTTCTTTCTACGACCATGGCCTCATTTTCACTTTGCCTAATGACTGAGGTTCAACGCCATAAATAATAATCTTTTATGTTATGTGAGTTTTCTTATGTTAATCACTCAGAGATTGCAATTGCGTTCTGTACATATTACTTTAAAATATGCGCTTATATATTGCCATTTTAACTTTGTTAAATTAGGTATTACGTATTGTTTAAAGTAAATAGACGTTTAATTAAATCATAAACGGTATGTTAGGCACGTAATCCAGTGTATTCAGTGTATTTATTGTAAATACCATGTCTGAAAATCACGCATTTAATACAAACTCATTGCAATGTAGCAATATAAAAGTATTTGGATACATTTTTATTAAAGATGTGTACTCTCTATTTTATATTACTGTTTTGTATAAAAAAAACTTTAACCTGCGAGAAAACATGCAAAATTTGAAATACCGGATTGTACCGTAAGTGTAATATCTTCAACATTGCAACCCAGTGACCCAGCAAACACAAAGTAACAGTTACATAACTGTAAGTTAAAATTTCCTACTCAACAATATAACCGTTATATAACACGTGTGTTATGTAACAGTTATATTGTTGAGTAGGAAATTTTAACTTACAGTTATATAACTGTTACTTTGTGTTTGCTGGGGAGAAATGATTCGTCGATCGACGAGTCATCTCTCGCTGGGAAAATTCAATCTTAAAGAAATGCAGCCTCTATTATAAAAACGCATTGATTACATGCATCAACAGTCAGTCTCGAACTGTTGCGCACGAAAGAAGCATACAATTCAAGAGAAATAATTATTTGGCGCACCAAAATTTATTTAAAAAAAAAAGTTAATATCTGGTACATGTGTTATAGATACGCGCATTTGTCCTAGAAGAAACATTTGAACGCTTTCACTCAGTCATGTCTTATTATCACGGTTTGCAGGTTTATTCGTGAACAAACAGACGACGTTCACGATAGACGCGAGAGACGTCGCCAAGTCGAAGACCGACGACGGCAAAGTGTCCTGCACCATAAATAACCCCAGCGGCGGGAAGACCGAGAAGCTCATCATCCCCCAGGGTGACGGCACCTACCGCGTCAGTTACACGCCTTTCGAGGAGGGCTGCCACACCATCGACATTCTCTACGACAACGTGCCGATCCCGGGCTCGCCGTTCTCCGTGAACGTGCAACGCGGTTCTGATCCCAGCAAGTGTCGCGCGTATGGCCCTGGTTTGGAGAAAGGCATCGTGAACAAGACGAACCGTTTTACGGTGGAGACCAAAGGTCTGCGAGCCAACATTTTCATCAAATTCTCTGAATGCTGTAATTTTGTACTGTCTATAAAATATTGCGTAATCATGAAATCGTTAAATAATATTATAATAAAATATTCAATATTGTATAATATCGAGAACATAAGGATCATTGTACAACAAAGGACGGGAAATTTTCTATGCAAAAGAGCGAGGAAGTATGGAGGAAATAGCACGTATACGACTCTCTTTCAGAGGCCGGCAACGGCGGCTTGGGTTTGTCGATTACGGGCGACGGGGAGGTCAAGGCGGAGGCCAAGGACAATTACGATGGTTCCTGCACCGTCGAGTACGTTCCCACGGAACCCGGTGACTATGAAATCGGCATCAAATTCGCCGAACAGAACATACCCGGTTCGCCGTTCAAGATCGAAGTGGTATCGGACTCGGAAGCGAAGAACGTAATCGCTTACGGGCCAGGCCTGCAACCCGAGATGGTACGCGAGGGTGTGCCCACCAAATTCACGGTGGACACATCCAAGTGCGCGAAAGCGGCTCAGCTGGACGTAAGACTGTCGACCGACAAGGGACAGGCGCAGAAGCCGCAGATCAAAAGCAAGGGCGACGGTCTGTACGAGGTGACGTATCAGCCACCACCCGCAGGAAGTAACGTGCACGTCGGCGTTACTTACGACGGCGAGGACATCAACGGCAGTCCGTACAAAGTGAAGATCCTACCCACTGTGGAGCCCAGCAAGGTGACTTTGTCGGGTCCCGGGGTGTCGCCCGTCTGCACTGCTTCCTTCCCAACTGACTTTGTCGTGGATACTTCCAATGCTGGATACGGCGATCTCGAAGTGCAAGTTGTGGTGAGTAATGTTCCACGAAGGATTTTGCATCTATATATCGCGCGCGTTTGACATTCTACTTGTGCATATTCGATTTGGGGAGGGATAAGAAAAGCTACATATTTTTTGCAAAAAATAGTCTTTCCCGGACACTAATTAACAGTAATATAACATCAACATTATAATTTCCCCGCTCGAACGAAGATGTAGCTGTAATGTAAAAGCCTGTGTCCACGATGCTAGGACTTGGTCCAAGTTCTAGTTCTGAGAAATTAGTAGTCAATCAACTTGCAGCTTTTATAGAATAGCTGCAAGTTGATTGGTTACACATCTCTCGAAACTAGAACTTGGACCAAGTTCTAGCATCGTGGACACAGGCCTTAACATATGCTGTATATGACAGTTTCATTGTTGAGTAGGAAATTATAACAGTGATGTTATGTAATTATTAATCGGTGTTTACTAGGCAATTGTTAAAAATAATAATTATATTAAAGATTCTCACGAACGTTGCTATCTGTTAACAACAAGACATAATTAAATTTTTTTCGAAATTTACAGACAATAACTTTTTCTTCTACATGATTTTTTTAATACTTTTGGAAGCCTACAATAGTGATCACGGATGGAGATGAGAAGTCACTATCATAAGAAAGCGGTTATCATCTTGAAATCTTATCAATGGTATCACACTGACGAAGAAGCCGGCGTTGAATATCTCCAAAATGAAGTTGCAATCATCTTTTCAAAATAATCTTTCAGATTAGAAAGTCAATCGCTTCGATTTTCTATCGTGACCAGGGTTTCAAAATATAATCTCACTGATTTGTGTACATTCGCGCGCAATATTAGCGACACAGCGAGAATTCGGCAAATTTATTTTATAGAAAAATTTATATTATTATTAAAGTATATTTTATGTATTAACGATGGCAATTATTGATTTAACCTTTGTACCTAGACATATTTAAAACCCAGTTTTATAATTATTAATATTTAATGTTGTAATTATATAAAACCAAACTATTACATGTTCATTAACTTGCATAAATATATGTGCCAAGTAAGCAGAAACTATAGAAATTATTCAATATTAAGCTAATTCTTTTTGATTGTAGTAAAATACGTGATAAAAAAATATTTAAGCATCGAGATGTATGAGATACTGCGGATTTTAGAAATAAGCTTCTGCTTTTTCTTACAATTAGACACACAAATTACGCAAAAATAGAAAGTATTCCGTATAAGAAGTTTAATGAAGAAAACGACTTTTTCCACATTATCATAATTTGCTTCATCACTTGACATTATTAATTCTTATATTAAATTCATTTCAAAACGTTACATGCGATGAACAAGATTCCGACACACTCACACGACATGAATGCTCGCTTCGTATTCGCCCACTTCGAGGACAACTTGTCATTCGGATAATGGTAGGGAATTTATTGAAATTGGTACGAAGATATTATATCAACTTAGTGATTTTGAAAACATCGTGTATGATATTGGAAACATCATATAACATGTTTACCTGTTATACTCTCGTACAAATTTTTCAAGTGTCCTACCATCGACCGGTACACTAATCAAAACTTTTATTTTCGTTCGCTAACCATCTCTCGTAGCAGTAATTTATATTTATCATCACACATTCAACATGATTGTTCCTAGAGAGACCTATATGTACCGTCTGTCAAGCGACCAACTGTCATAATCGACAAACGAGTCAGAAGAACGGTCGTGCTTATTATACTTTCTGAATTCTTTTTCCAGGGACCGGACCAAGTGCCACGCAGAGTGGAAGTGCAGGATCTTGGCGACGGAAAGTACAAGGCGACCTATCTGCCGGATGATTGTGGCCGCTACAAGGTCAACGTGAAGTATGGCGGCAAGGAAGTACCAGGTTGCCCGGTAAACGTGCAGAGCGTATCCACCGGCAAGGCGGACCAGTGCAAGATCAAAGAGGGCATTCAGCATACTTTGGCTCAGGGCGAGGAGTACTGCATCACTGTGGACACGAAAAATGCAGGCCGCGGTGCAGTGACCTGCCGCATCCGTTCCACTTCCGGAAGGTGAGTCCGCGCGATCCGCCCCGATTTAAATCCGACTATTTCGGAGGAGATGAATCAGTGAGACGAGACACATAGTAGGAACCTTTAAAATTCGCTCTCGCAGTTGCCGAAATATTCTGATTTTTCTTCTTCCTTCGAAATCTGAGATTTAATTTATCATCTCTCATGTATATAGAGGAAAGTCCTCTATTATGAGATAGGAGTCTAATATGCGATAGTAAGTTTTCAACGTTCGAATTCGATCACAAATTTCTTTTCGCAACGATTACACGATCTAACAATCAATTTTTCACTAAACAGATTTCACTCCAAAGGCAATAATTTATATTCATGGTGGAACCAACAGACGATGCCTATTAATTTAGCAGAAACTCCGCTATATTATATTACGAGCTTATCTCATAATAGAGAATTTTCTCTCTGTTTGTGAGTAGAGGATGCTTAAGAGATATCTTTTTCTAAAAATGAGAAATGTATTATGTGATATATTATATATCATTGATAAGAAATATTCTACTTTTAACTTAATTTTAATTTGTCTATTATGTATCTTTAATGTATCTTTGCTCATTTCTTCCTGTAAGAAGTGACTTATAGACAAGTTCCAACTCATTTGCATGTGTCTTCTCTCTCTCTATTTAATATATATGTATAATACATATATATATAATAAAGTTTTCGCAAAATCTTCGTAGTTTTCAAAAACATTCTTCGCACGCGCTTTGATATCTTTTGATATTGTATTACAAATATATGGATATGAGGGCGGTAAAATATTTTTACTGCAGTCCCCTCGCATTTGCGTTCTTCGACCTTCAGATTTCAGACAAAAATTCCATTTTATTTGAAATACGTCGCGCCGTCGCGACTTATTTATTTTTAATTCACAGTCATGAACTTGAGAAGGATCTCTTACTGCTATATCTTTGTCATTGCATAAATATTAAACAAATAACAATTAATTATTATTTAATTCTTCTATGACACAATCTATGATGTTCCATATACTCTTACATATTCAATTATATTATTATATTTATTTTGTTCTCTACAAACTTTAACTATAAATTATTTTTCTAAATAATCAGTGCATTCGCAACTTCTTGTTGCTTTGCCGATTGCAATCATGTAGTTGCAAAGATAGTTTTAAATTAATGGATTTATGCTGTAGCGAAATTTAGAAACAAACAATTTAGAGAAACAAATAAAAAGCATAGATGATAGAGACATGTTGTTGCACTTTGATGATTTATAACCGTATATTGGAAGTAGATCTAAAGTTTGAAGGCGTTAATAACTAGTCCGCAATAAATCGTGTAACAAATTCGATAGAAATTAGGATCGTGGCACATTGCCATTACGAACGTCATGTACGTAGTGGTAATAAGTGGTTCGTCGCGAAGCTCTGGCCGCAGTATCCATGTTGATTACCATACCGCAACATTGAAATTAAATGTCGGTTTGATTTAATTCGAAAGCGAAATATTCTTTTAACGAAACTGGATGTCGACAGTGAACGAACGCCAAGAAGAATGATTATTTAGGAAGCACGAAGAAAGAGAGAGGGAGGGGGGATTGGTTTCGTAATAATTTACATGGTGTTGAAAAAAAAGGTAAAATATTTTAAAAGGAATTAGTACGCCCGAAAACGACGAAATTAAATAATAAAATACGATAAAATTAAGTGATGACCACATCCTATGTTGTCACTAGCTAAGGTTAATTTTCAGGTTTCTTGTTACGATGTCGAAATGAATGTTGTAATGCCATGCATCCGCGCAGTTATATCCTTTGCGGATATTTCGGGATTCCTAGAAAGACATGCACTTCCTATCTTGCTTATATATCGTGTGCATTTACGCGTAACTGAGCACGTGTCCTCCAAACGGTTGTCACAACCCTAATCAAATCGACTATAAATGCATTCTAAACGCTGACAGTGGTGTACACAGCTGCTACCTCATAATTCATCTATGATATCCTGTGTTGTTCGAGTTGGCAGTGAGTGTCTTCCGTCGAAGAGACCACTTCAGAACGGGCCAAATTCTTTATCTTAAGTGTACCAGGTGACAAGACACGACGTCTGATATTATTTCCTATAATAAACACGATTTTCTAATTACATTTAACATGCTAACATTGTATCCTAATGACAAATAATGATTTATAGTTAAATGCTGTACGCGAAAGTACAGAAGTGAATTATCGGGCGAAGTGTTATGTTGTTGAAAGTTATTTGTTGTATATAAAAAGGAAAAGTATTCAGATATTATTTCGTATTAGATATTATCATTGCAATGATAACTTCTCTCGATCTCCCTCGCGCTGTCTCTTTCAAGCTCTCATTGCCAGTAGAACTTTACAATATTTTCTTATTGCTTGCATTTTAACTAAATCCCTTCTCTTCTGCTTCGAAGTTTCTAACTTTACTGAAGTTCGAAATATTCGAATAAAGTCGCGAGGAAGTACTCGAAATGACTTATTGCTGAATGAAGTTGTAGCGGTGTTATGAAAATATGCGCGGGAATTTCTTGAATGGAGATCTGCGTTCTATATTTTAATCTCTGAATAATACATCTCGGTCTGTGATTTCAGTGAAGTCGTTGACATTGACATTGAAGACAACGGCGATGGCACAGTTAACATTTACTATACTGTTGCCGATGCGGGAGACTACACCCTTAGCATTAAGTTTGGCGGTCAACCGGTGCCTGACGGATTCTATACCTTCACAGTGAGTAACTGCAATGTGTTTACTATTTTACAATTTATTTCACGAAATCATTAATTTTTTTATACGCCCGTTCATACAAAATAAGATGACCAAAGTTTGCAAAGTTTTTTTACAACAATCCCTAATATAAAAAATTTATATTAAAATTTTTACACTAAAACAATTTTTTGAACCTTCTTGAAAGTTTCTAACAAATTCGTAATTTTTGTTTTTTCGATAATTCTTTTTATTCAATTAATCGTTATTTTAAATTCTATCGTCCTAAAGAAATTCTCGAGTTGCTTCGCGTATTTGTATTATAAAATGTGTCAGGTTCGTACAATGAACTTGAACATAAATATGAAATTGGACCGTGAAACACACACTAATGAAATTACGTTATCATGGTATCGCTTGGTGACGCCAACGTTTTTTTCTTGTTCTGCGAAAAATAACAAATATTATTAATATGAGTTCGGAAATCAATTTTTAAGTCAAGTATTTAATGTCTAATAATATATATTATATATATCTTGATGTTGTAATCAATCATTTTTTTATGAGATCCGTTGTCACGGAACACCTGCAACTTTATTTGTGAATATTCCTGAGCAGAACAAAAATATTGAATATTACACTTTATCATACAAATTATATTTTTATCACAATCGTATCATTCTTGTTAAAAAGAATATCTTGTTTTATTACCATCCATTATTATAATCTCTAACAAGTCCTAACACACGTTATGAGTATCAGAAATAATCTAAAGACGAAGGATCGCGAACTATATCTATCAGCATCTTTAAATTTGATCGCAATTTGATCAATTTTCAGTCACACCCAAAATATGACTTTTGAAAGTCATTATATGATGCCATTTTAGCTTCATCATGATTTCTTGTTCTGCTTGGGTTTCCTCTCGCGAGCGTCGGCTTTCTTTGAAAAGACAAGGGGTGCTGATGCACGGAGTCTCCTCGTAATCTTCTCGATGCCGATCCGGATGCCCGGTGCTCTCGTCGTCGACGAGCCCCGGGTGGGTGGGGCGCGAGGTGTATCTAACTATAGAGGCAACACGTAGTGCAGGATATTGTCGCGTAGTCTCCAGCGAAACAGTCCACTGCGAAGGCTCATCGGGACCGCATCCGCTGGCTTGTTACGAATCCTCGCTCGTCATCACATGGACCCCGTCGCACTGTAACACGAATTCCGCCCCAAGTAACACACACATGCATACATCTTTATCTCTCGCTAAATCTTCTCTGTACATCCTTCCCCCCCTTACGTGGCACAGATCAACTGTGTGTGTGTGTGTATGCCTGTGTGTATGTATGCGTATGTGTGTTTACACGTATCTGTGCGCACGCGTGTGAGTGTTTGTCGTCATCAAGTGGTCCAGAGTGCCTCCGATCGCAAATGCTGGAACGCCATTAACCTGCTAAAAGCGAAGAACCACGGGGAACTTTTTATTCACATTAATCCACATGACATTTGGCTGGCCAAACTACCTACTCTAATTTTGTAAACGTCAGAACTTGTTTCCTTTCTTTCGAAATACGAACATTCCGTAGTCTAGAATGACCTAAGTTAGTAATCGGAGGTACGTTGTTTTTTTTTGCATCGATCGCCTTGTATTTAAACTTTTCTATTTTCACTTAAAAAGCAAGAACGCAATTAAACATTATTTTATACTATTTTATAAGTCTTTCTACTTATATATTTTCAATATGTAATACGATAAAAAATATATATCGTCCGTCTGTCTATTTAAGCCGAATGGCTATCTTCACCTGGTTATCAGTAGGGAAAGACTGATATGGTCAGACATCCCTCTTTCTAAATAAAGAATGTAGAAACATGCATTTTTTCTGTACACTTTAGTAAATTTACATTTTTATATTTTTATATTCTGATTATCTTGACGCGAAGAGAAACGCGATGAGTTATGAAACGCGATGTAAGCCGGTGATATAAATGCTTGCACATTCATGTAGCCGTCACGGTATTTTGTGACACCTGCTCAATTAACTCACTAAACTTCAGCGTTTGAGAAATATTGTTTCGGGATGTACGACTTTCTTTTTTATGAATTGGTGGCGTACGGATTAAATAAAGCGTTTGTGCTATTTTCGATTTTACGCCTTTGTTATATGCAGTTTAATACACTCAACTATTCAACAGTACAAAAGACAACAGTAAGCTAGGAAGTTACAAATGATTATATATATGCGCTAATTATTACACGTTATTATTGAATTTTATTAATATCTTTACTCACGCTTCTCCTGTTGACATGATACTTCATTTATCGAATTTATTTTCGCGTTATTCTGGGAATAAAAAGTGATACTTTAGCAAATATTTAAAAATGAGGAGAGCGTAAAATAAAATTTGATTACTTATAATTAATGATCGATGGAAATATTTTGAGACTACCAGTGTAACATTATCTTGCATGAAGAGAAATTTACATTGTACAGCATAGTGACAGGTCACGTCACGCGTCATAACTCTTCGCGACTGCAGCGCATAAATAATATCCGCGCAGAAAGGCACAACGTGCTTGGCGATCGATCTATTGTCTAATAAGATGACATTTAGTGAGATATCTATATATTCTTGGAGCATCAATCATATTCTCCGTATTAAAGCCACGATCCATTTTGAAATCCAATACGCATCTCGATGCCGTCCATCCTCCGCGGAGAGCTCCTAGACTATTTCGAGTGCGAGTCAAGCTTCCCCAAATTTATAAGCAGGAACCGGAGTGGGTGGCCGAGGGAGACGGGGGAGTGAATTAATACCGTGAGTTAAATTAAACCCCGTGCCACGATTCACAACGGTGACTTTGTGCGACACATTCCTCTCGACAGCCGACGGCGATGTTCGCCATTATTTCTCGCTTTGCCTGCAGAATCAATCTCAAGTCGAATTCTGGAATGATTATCGTGAAAATTTTTTTGCATTTTCTAGTCGTTTACAAATAGCCGCAAACAATTAATGTTAATTTTGCTGTTCTCAATTTGTATGTCACGACTTAAAAGCGATACGCATTCAGATGCTCATGCGAAAGCTATGTATAAATAATTGCAGACGCTTCGGCATTTAGAAAACCGTGAATCTCTTACTTTAATGTCAGTTTAATATAGCTAAACTGGTCGTAAACAAAAACGTGACATTATATTTGGGATTTATCCAAATTTATTGTTGTTCTCAATACACACTGCGATCGCGGATCTCCGATTTCGCGACTTTGTACTTTGTACGACTTTGATATATTTAAAATATTGCGGACTGTAGCATCTCTATTGGCGACTTCATATATTGCTGTTTAGTGGTAAACGTTGTAATTAAATGTATTTAAATTGTTGACAATTTAATTCCAGGCTTTAAGAAATTATGCGTTACATGTTATTTCATACATATACATTTTTAATTATTATTTCAATTGTATTATTTAAAATTTATCTCCTCATTTTATCTCCTGTATTATGTACGAGTTATTATTCGAGTATTATTCGTTTCTGTATCACATTGAGTCATCATTTTACATTATATCAAATTTCTTATTTGGAAACATCTACGCATATAATGTCACAAAAAACTATTGAAAGGTCGATCGACGATATTATCATGTCTTCAATGGCTTACGAATTATCACTTGTAGATTCACTGTAGCGTAATCCCTATCGCGTTTTGTACTCTTTGTTCTTTTGTAATGTGTACGAGTGGGGGCTGAGTATCTATTATAGTACATGAAATTCAGCATTGTGCCCGGAATTACGGGTTGGATACCACAGAGAGGCGCGAGTTTCGTGTCGACCACCGACGTAGCTGGGCGTTTCCTCGTAAATCACCGAAACGCGATAGCTGGTTGTTAGGTACACAAATTCGCAACCAGTCAATCAACCCTTTGTAGAAGGAGAGGAAGGGCCCGCGAACTATCGGGAGGCTTAGAGTATGGCGCCGATCTTGTGACAGTCACGATTGTTTACGGACTGAGTGAGTGATACGAGTGATTGCGATATATCGATTGGATAAGGAATAACACGGATTTAAGCGAAGTAGTTGACAAAATAAGTAACGTCTCATTTTCCACGAGTCACCTGTTTTTCTTTGCAATTTATCGTACACAGTACTAAATGCATTAAACAAATGCTTTAACGTATCTTCGTACTCTTATATTTTCAAAAAGTAAAGAGAGAAACGAGGACGAAACTATTGCCCAAAGGTTTGAGACCATTAAATATAAAATTTATAATTTAACATGTTTTATTGTTTTATATAATAAAGTAAAAAATATACGATATGTCTAATAATTCTATTTAAAAATTTGTTATAAAGTTACAAGAATATTAGACACTTTTGTTATTAAAGTAACCACCCTCACATTTAATTAATTGTTTACTAATTTAAGTAATCCAACTATAAGTTTTTTCTTACGGTAAATTTGTCAGAAACATTTTCTAAAGTAGTCTGCAGCCTAGTTTTGGGGAAGAGTATAATCGTAGTTTATTTTCTTGAAATTAAACAATGCTATGTTAATCATAACTAAATATAATGCGTATTTACATTTAATTGAGAAAAAATGAGTAAGTCGAATTTTAGCAATAAATAGTGTTTCGTTAGAAAATTTTGATATTTTACATGTGGTCTCAAATTTTTAGCTGGCAGTGTATGAACCAAAATGATTATAAATGATTTTCGATATTCCGAATATTAGTATTTTCTTATTTAAATTTATAATTAAAAAATTTTGACAAGTAAATAGAGATCTTCGGTCGCGCTAGTTTGTTGTAGCCAAGAAATATTTGTATGAATTTATATATTTGTTGCCACTCAAACTAAGTGCCGTTGGTCTTGAAATACAGTTATTCGACGGAACAATAAGTCCAATTTACTTAAATTGGTAATCGATTTAACTTTCGGATGCTAATAAGCATCCTTGAAATCACTGTAAAGAATTTATCGCGAAAAGTGTCACCCCTACAATGAAGAATCGAACCTGAACTTCCTTCCAGTCCGTAATATTTTTACCAATTCGACTACCGAGACATGCAAAAATTTTGTTCTGGCTCCCATATAGAGAGATACAAAATTTATTTAATTAAATTATAATTATTCCCCATCTTATATGTATATGTATATAACTTATGAGCAAGAAACATGTATAATAAATTCTTTATCACGAATAGATTAGCTGATATTTTCTCTTTCAGGAATTAGGAAAAGGATCTTTTTATGCTGATATTGCTTTGATATCATCGTGTCGCATTTTGCACCATGAAAGCGACTATTTATGTAGCGCGTTCAGTATCTCCTCGAAAGCTAATTTTGGTTTCAGCTGCAATATTGCGTCTCGATGATCAACAGGCTTCGTGTAATATTTCATACCTCTTAATTGACAGCGGCATTTTGTGGAATTCGATTCTTTTGAGCCGTTTTCTTTTCACATTTTTAATTGAAAGGAATAAAATTTGTTTCTGCAAAATATTGCGAAAAGATATTAAACAACTCTGATATTGTGCACATAACGCGATATTATTACGCATCTTTAAGACGAGAAACTTTTTTCAATTCTCTTCGATAGATGAAATAATTAATGTAAATTCATTACATAATGTAAGGCTGTCCTTCCAATAGTAATGCGTTTACAAGCTAGGCAAAGATATTATTATTATAATTTTGTAAGAACTGTCTTCCGTAAAGCTGCATTAGTATTTAAGTATTGCTTTATTTTGTAATTATTATAAAACTATGACTTAAATATTGCTTTAATCGATCGAACTTAAATGTAACTTGTGACTTATAGAAGAACATAAGTAATCACGAATTATTTTAATGCTAATTCATTATAGACGGCTTCCCGTGATGATTCGAATTTTGCAATAATTCTAACGTGGTTACATAATAAATTCTTTACACGCATCGCATTTTGGCTTGCGACCAGTATCAAAATACGTAGATTCTATCGTAATGAGATGTAACGTACACCATCTCCCGATTTCTAGAAAATTTCTGCACGCCTCTTTCCTGTGTGGATTTCGCAAGAATTTTATTAGCATTCCGTAAAGAAAAAACACAAAAATACTTTTTCTAATGCCTGGCGTTGTTCCAGCACCGAAATATCTTATCGATCATGCAGTATCGCGGTCCATTGTCGCCAGAGACACGCCTTCACGTCGTGAACCCATTTCTATTAACAATTACATTTTTAATAATAATCTCTGACTCTGCATTTTTATAAAAATAAATAAAAAACAAACCGCGATTTAATACATGTTACTGAAATGCAATCATTTACAAACTTAAAGCCAATTATTGTATAGTAAACTGTTCCGTTTACAATACAATAATTGGCTTCAAGACATTGTCTTCTGAACAATTTATAATTATCTAAGGTATTTGGATCACGAATAGACTGTGAAAAGACATCTAAACGTCAATGTTGTTAACTGATTCGTTTATTTCAACGATATTTCAGGCATCCGAGGAGTATCGGGAACATAGCACGCACAAAACTCAACGGGCTCGCAAAACACAGCAGAGACAAAATCAACACGTTGTCGAGCAGCGCAGCACAACTGTACAGGAGAGCTCCACTGTCACCACAAAGCGTAGCAGCCAGCAGGAGGTATCGAAAAAGAATTTCAACGTTATCCGATTGAACTCCATCCCACTACCTCTTGCAAGCGGTGGCACAGTTACTTGTAAGTGAAATCTTTTCGTATTTTAAGAATTCTTAACACTTTTGTCTATTTTTCACATGTTGCCTTAATATTTATCTCAAAATTTGTCCAAAAAGATTTTTTTCTCATAAAATTCATTTGCTGCATAATAATATAAATTTTAAGTACGTATGCTGCGATTGGTTGGACACCGAGAAGTATGAATTGCCACAGTATTCACCGGCAATTTAATCGCTTTCTCTTATAAGAGTATCAATAATGTTATTTTGTTTATGAAGAGATTATTTTATACATTTAATTTCAATGCGACACGTAACATTGTCTGGTACTACTGCGTCTAAAAATTATGACTGTAATTTAAAAACATACAGTAACAGTAAAATTTAACATTAATTAAACTTACAATTAAAACTGCTGTCAATCAGTGACAGGCGGAACTTGCAGGACTTCCTGACTTATTTTCTTAAATTATTTTGAATTATTGTTCTCTCGTTCATTGGAACAAATTACAAATTTTCACGTGTACCTAAATACAAATGCTTTTTGATGTTCTCTTTTCTACTTAATCAAAATTCATAATTGTACAATGAGAAGAGATCTCTCATGATTTCTAATCAGTTAAAAATATTAAATTTTTATTTAAAAAATATATACTTTTTAACACGTTCCAAAAAATTGTCAATTAAACGATCTTAAATATATCTTTCAAATGTATGACTGGAGGTGCATATAGAGCAACAAACTTGTTCCCGTTGATCGAACTGTATAAATAATATCAACATAATATTTTCACAGCAGTTAGTTTATTTAGTCTAATTTCTATTATTAGTTTAACTAGCAATAGTTGAACGCACGTCGGCTGGAACCCATTCGCTGCGCGGAAATAAATCTCCGATTTTACTGCGCAACGTGTTGCGTTGCTCTGCCGACTTTACGATGCGAATTCTTCCGCCTCGTGTGGAGACGGATTCGGCACGTTTCGCGCGTTCTTAAATTTTTGTACGGATAAAACTTCCCCCACTCACCGTCTTTCTGCAATGACTAATGCATACGTCATTCTTAAACACCTACTTAACATTGTGACGAAATCACAATGTGTGACTTATATCGTTATTAATCATGCGCACCGCTGTCGCATTTGACTACTTGCACCAGCGCGTCACTTGATGGCTTAATAAATTGAATTGATTAATGATCGCCGTTGCAGTTCCAACACTTCAAAATTAAATTCAGAATTGTAGCGTAATAAATTAATCGTTGCTGTTAGATAAAGGGAACGAGATAATACAAGTAATAGAAATGTCTCGTAAGGTTGGGCTGGATTTTAGCACCTAATAATATTTTACGTATACATTTTTCCAAACAGCAAACCACGCGCCGAAAACTAGCGGTCTAGAAACACAGTCTGAAGCTAAAGTCGAAATAGTATACGTGGTTAAATTGATAAGCAATTTAATGATGATGCTAAGTATACATTCTTTAGAAATGAACTGTAAAGAATGCTGCAGTAGTCGAATTGATCGAGAAATAGGAAGATTCGGGTTCAAATAACTTCGAATTAATTTAATTATGAATATTGTATGCTATTTCGACTTTAGTTAGAGTTTTAGTCTGTGTTTCAAGACTGGCCAAGTTCTTGGTGCGCAGTTTGCTCTGTTGGAAAAAAATGTACACGCACAATATTATTAGACACTAATTGTAAGATCCAGTCCGACGATATAAGGTATTTCGATTACTTGTATTATATAGAAACGGTCAAGTTCACTTATTATGAGACAAGAGATGATTCATTTGAAAAAAAACTTATTAATTGGATTTTTATTAATCACTAATGTATTAATAATAAGAGGTAATAGTATTAAGTTTAATAAATACTTCTGTAATATTAATAGGCAAAGTAACGAGCTAAGCATTAACAGAATGGAGGAAATAATGATAAGCTTCTGTTACTGGAAAGAGTCCTCTCTGGATGGTCGAACCTGGTTAGATAAATGAACGAGCGACGGCGTGTAATGCGATTCAATTATACGTAGTGTTTCGCGGTTGACCAACGCGCGTTCAGAAAGCATCAAATGACAGACGCGACGGATTCGTATATTCGCTTTATCCACCACCCTGCCAAAAATATGGCGAGCTGGACAGGCCGGTGTGGAAGGACGATATATATGTCGAATAAGCGCGACGCACTGTCCGCGATATTAATATTGGGTGATTAAGTGGCTCCGGATGCACGTTGGTCGCGCGGTTGGTCTAAAGCCGAGCCTCGAGATTCCAAGCGGTCGAGGACGATAGCGGGTCCAGAAAAAGATCGATCCCTTCCACGTCCACGGCCCGCTTCTTCATCCTCCGGTCCAGGTCCCTCTCGCCGGCATGCGAAGATCAACTGGAGCGGTTTTCCGGTCGACGAACCCGCGATTCGATTCCGGACGGTGGTTCGCACCTTGCCAAGAGATCAATATCTTGTTGCTGGAAGCCCGCTGCAATCTTGCGCAAATATTTTCTTCCGCTTCCAGTTGGCCGAATGATATTGCTTTTATTTTGTGACCTTAATACCACACGTAGGAATACGAAAATCCAGGAATATGAAAGTCACGGAAGTCACGTCCGGATGAAAGATCACTCTGAATCAGATCATTGATTTTCTGGCGGATTATACCGGCGTGTGCTGGATTAACGTTGCGCGGTAGACGCTGAACGCATCACGCTTGTCCACAATTAGTCAGACGCGGCCGACACTCGTTCCTCCTCGTCATAACGGCCGTGGTGCGTGTTAAATGCGCGCGACTCGTGCGACCCGGTTCGCTTGCTCGACGATCTCTTTCGGCAAATGAAACGGCGATCGCGGAAACGTAGCCAGGATGTTACGCGCCAAACTCTCCATCTTGTCTATCTTAAGAATTCTGGAATTCCTTCCACGTGATAACAATTTACGTAACCCCCCGTAAAGACGAACACAAAAGAATCAGAGGGAGATGTGTGCAGGATTATTTTAGGAACGTTTCTCCGCGACGTTTTCCGTACCTTTGGTTCGCTCGAACCGAAAACAGATCGATATATCGTTATTGCATTATTAAGTCTTAAAGAACTTCGGTCTGAGAGAAGACGTCCAAGGGTAAAATGTTTCTCGTCGGGTTATAATAATAATAGATAATTGGATTAATTGGTCCCCGTCACGAGAAGTATCGCGTTCCAAAGACGACCTCGAGTCTTCTCCTATAGCAATCAAAAGCAATATGCCGGGCACCTGGCAATAACGTTATCACGTGCACGCCTAATGATGGTCGCGTCGTCGCGTTCCCGATTTACCCCGATCGAGCGGACCCGTCCAGCGTTGATCCCGTCACGTAACCAGCTATGCAACCGATCCATCCACAACTCGGCGAGTCGCGGTTACCACAGACCCACGGCGCGTGTAATGGTATATATGCATATAAAATACACCATCGCACACCGATGTACCTGCGTCGTAAATTTTCGCGCACCAGGTGCAGGCGCCGCGACGTCGACCACCCGCTTCCTCCCACCAGCCGCGGAATCCTCGGATTAGCGCGTGCGTAAACCTCCATAGGTTCATTGTGTATACGTGTAGAGACGTGTGTGTATGTCTGTGTGTGGTCATTGGTGATATTCCTGCGAATGTGCGATCCTCGTGTGGCGCGGTCGATAGAGAGGGATAGATCTCTTCGCGAAGAAAGACGTAACGAGAGAGAAAGAGAGGTCGTTGAAAAGGGAGAGAAAGAGAGGGATGTTTGATAGACGAGGCAGACTGGCAATCGTGGCAGGCAACACGAAACTGGCCTCTGGTAGCTAACGCTGGAAAAAAGATCACCCGGCCAGATCGACGGCCAGCTCATCGTCCTCGCCACCGACCGACTTTGGTGCTTGTGCGACCGTCAGTCGTGCCGGAGATGCGCCCTCGTGAGGTCGACTGACAGGCGCTATCAGACTGGAGACCTCGCGAACGAGATCACTGAGGAACGCCGGAAGACGTTGTTACCCTTTGGTCAGTCGGTCGGTGGGTGGGTCGGTCGGTCGGTCTCCTCAAGTCGGCTGCGTTGCGATACCCCTCGGGGACCATCGACTTTTTTTAGCGCGGACGTTTCGGTACCGGAGAAGATTTATTAACGTCGATCTATATTCGGGGGAACTGCACCCCTTCGGGGTGTTGCCTTCCGCACGTGACGGCGCGCTCGCAACTGGAATCTTTCACTTACGTTGTATCGTCCCGACCGATATTTGGAAGTGATGTAAGATTTTTTTTTACGCTTCATTCTCCTCGCGTAAGATAAAGATAAGATCCATCTGCGCGAGCCAAAAGCGTTTGTAACTCAAGTAAGCTGTTCTGTGCAAAATGCACTTGTCTCGCTGAGAATCACGGAAATAAAAAAAAAACGGAAGTAAAAAATTATTGGTTCTTTCGACAGCGTAAACTTGTAACTTTTCTCTCGTTTGAGAAAGGAAAACGCGATTATTAATCTTCACGGTGGTCCAGAGTAAAATCAGTGCAACCCCACGATCGAACCACGGTAGTTTGTCAAGTGCGTCGGCGGAAATTCGCGCGATCCTGAAGTGCACTCGCTGGAGATGATTTGGGCAGAGAAGGTAGCGGAAATACCAGCCACGTGGCAGGAGGTATCGACCTTCTATAGAGCCTGGTTGAAGAGCGTGTTCTTCAGCGAATTCAATCACGCCGAGCGCGGACCGATCTGCTACGCTAAGGGCGTCCAAGAAAAGCAGGAAGTGCCAGGACCTGGACTCGATTTCGCGCCGATCATCTTCCAGAGTATCTTCTACGTCGACACGAAAAAAGGTTTTGCCTTCAGGAGACCTTTCGATTCATCTTCACCAAATTCCAAACGCAAATGATATAACGGCTTGCATAATTCGTCGTATTTCGCAATGATATAAACTGAAAAATTAAGTTTTATCATCCACCACGAATTTGTGAATTCCTATTCAAAATTAAGTACTTGAAAAATCTCTATGTTGCACAACTTCCTCTGATTAAAAAATACTTGAGCTTACCATTTGATTTTAAAATTTCGCACATTTTCTAGACACGTATCTAGTGAATCGATAATCGTTTCCGTGGGTTTTCACACGTAAATATCAATTAAATTTAACCCAATTATTAAAGACACGTTAGGCGCAAGAAATATGAGTTTCTATTTCTGAGGGATATTATTTACTAGTATGTGTATCTTTGAATATGAAACGGTGAGGCATGACAAACACAAACATTAAGCAGTTATTTTTGATATGAAATCTTGTTTGGGTGCGAAAGCTGTAATTTTGTACACCAGTGCCAACCAATCGCGGCGCACTCGAGGAAACTATGTCGCGCAAATGTCCTTGGGATGCGCCTGATGAACGCCACTCTACTCGTTTTCAGCCGAAGTGAAGATGCCTAGCGGAAACGTGGACAAGCCCGTTATTGAGGACAATCACGATGGTACGGTATCCATCAAGTACGAGCCAAGGGAAGAGGGCCTCCATGAGATTTATGTGAAATTCAACGGCGAACACGTCCAGGGTAAGTTAATCCATTCATCTCGCAAATTAACAGCGATTATGCAATCGCGAGGCGCGATCGATCATACGGAGATTCACAGAGCATCCAAGAATAACGCGTTAATGTATGCGCGTGCGATCCGTACGATCCTGAAACACAGAGGCTATATGAAATTTCATTCCCCGTGTAATGGATCTCGCGAGCGCCAATTTGTGCTAATAATAAATCTCTCCATCCGACAAATTAATTTACTTCACGCGACCATCATTAAATATAATATTTCCCAATTATCTTCTCTCGCTTTCAAATAAAATAACTTTTTATACATTATTTATTATGTCGCGTGACGCTTAGTCCGAAATTATGATTTCGCGAGTAATTGTATAAATTAAAATTTTTTACGGACACATTTTCAACTCCTACCCCTTTATCTTCGCCTAACAAAATTGTGCAATTGTCTACGTAAAATAAATATTCTTCAATGTGTTTTATACGCGATTTCGTTGCTAGGTTCTCCTTTTAAATTCCACGTCGATTCCTTGGCGAGTGGATATGTAACAGCGTATGGACCAGGTTTGGTCTACGGCGTTTGCGGTGAACCTGGAAACTTCACTATCTCAACAAAAGGCGCCGGGGCGGGTGGTCTCTCCCTGGCCGTTGAAGGGCCAAGCAAGGCCGAAATAAGCTGCCATGACAACAAGGATGGCACGGTGTCGGTGTCTTATCTACCCACTGCGCCTGGAGAATACAAGATTACCGTTAAGTTTGGTGACAAACATATCAAGGGCAGTCCTTTCGTCGCCAAAATTACGGGTAAGTGCATCAGGATCGCTTTAGCATTACGATTTCTTCCGCAGTATGTTTGATACGAAACTGGGAGATCAGACTGTCAGATAAAAGTTATTGTGTTTCGATGATATTCTTGTTAATGCATATAAAATTTTTCGTTTTTTAATTCAAATGGTTACTTTGATATATGATATTCCAAGTATCTCGTTTTCTCTATAATAAAGAAGTTAAATGCTGTTTTCAGGCGAGGGCCGCAAGAGGAATCAGATCTCCGTGGGTTCTTCCAGCGAGGTGCAGCTGCCGGGTAAGGTATCCGACGCCGACATCAAGTCTCTGAATGCGTCCATTACGGCACCCAGCGGCCTGGAGGAGCCATGTTTCCTGAAGAAGATGCCGGGAAGCGGCAACATGTGCGTGTCATTTACGCCGCGCGAAGCGGGCGAGCACGTAGTGGGCGTGAAGAGAATGGGCAAGCACATACCGAACTCACCCTTCAAGATCGACGTGAAGGATCGCGAGGTTGGTGACGCGAAGAAGGTCAAGGTCTCTGGTCCCGGGCTGAAGGAGGGCAAAACTCACGTGGAGAACAACTTTTCGATCGACACGAGAAACGCTGGCTTCGGCGGTCTCTCTCTATCGATGGAGGGCCCGAGTAAGGCTGAGATTCAGTGCAAGGACAACGAGGACGGCACCCTCAACATCTCCTACAAGCCCACCGAGCCCGGCTACTATATTATGAATCTCAAGTTTGCGGACCACCACGTTCAGGGTTCACCGTTCACCGTCAAGGTCAGCGGAGAGGGCAGCAATCGACAGAGGGAGAAGATCCAAAGGCAGCGCGAGGCTGTGCCGATCACCGAGGTTGGTAGCCAGTGCAAGCTGACCTTCAAGATGCCCGGTATCACGTCCTTCGACCTCGCCGCCACCGTCACGTCACCCGGCGGCGTCACCGAGGACGCCGAGATCAAGGAGGCCGAGGATGGCATCTACGCGGTAGCATTCGTGCCCAAGGAGCTGGGTGTGCACACGGTGTCTGTACGTTACAAGTCCATGCACATCCCCGGCTCGCCTTTCCAGTTCACGGTAGGCCCGCTTAGGGACGGCGGTGCCCATAGAGTTCACGCGGGTGGACCTGGTCTAGAGAGGGGAGAGCAAGGCGAACCATGCGAGTTCAACATCTGGACCAGGGAAGCGGGCGCGGGAACTCTTGCCGTCTCCGTCGAGGGACCCAGCAAGGCGCAGATAGATTTCAAGGATCGTAAGGACGGCAGCTGTTACGTCAGCTACGTCGTCAGTGAACCCGGTAAGCCACGAGTGTGTTGTTTGTCTATGCGCGGTGGCCTCGGTCATCGCAAAATTCTACGGAACGATATGCGTCTGAAGTCATCGCACGCGCATAAAGAGAGTTACACGTTTCCGGCCACTAATTCGGAACTACAAGACACGTAGAAATTGCCAATCCGTCATTCAAAGTATCCATAAAATGTTACAATATACCGGCAAGATGGACATCTGCCAACGCCGATTCTGCTTACGCTGTATCATACTCGCTTGACCGGCACGAGACAATTATCGAGGACGATTGGCGCCTTGAGAAGACGGTAACGCGAATGTCTAAGATTTGTCTGCTCAATCAATCCTGTTGAACGACGGACCATTCACGCAAACACTTTGTGTCGCGGTGGGATTATTCGCCGCATGCGCACGCACATAATCGATTGCGTACCGTCACCCGAGTGACTCACGAGCGCTCCAAAATTATCCGCACAAATTTTATGGTTCGTCGACGATATCCGTGCGAGCTAAATCACCCATGACGCGGACGCTCGGTTGGGTTTAATGTGCGAATTTAATCGCGCAACAGTTAAATACTCGAATATCTCCTGGATAAAGCGGAACGTCACTTCACCTTTGACAATTCTATATTCTCAATGAAAACAGAGTACCACTGAATCTATTTCTGAAATTGTTTGAGACTCGTGACTCTGTTTCGTTACCTTTTTCCTGATAGCTATTTTACGTTTGTCTCGCGATTGTATTGTACCTTCAACGTACTTGCGAAAACCGATAGTCTTATTAATGCCTGGACCCTAGTTTTACGAGGATTCACATTCTCATAATCTTTATTCCCATCTATACATCGATAAGCTTCAGGCTGTAGTTCACACAGCTTCTGTAGAAGTCCGAGGTACATACCTACAGTCTGAAACTCTGTGATTTGTATAGATGAGAAAAATGATGATAAAAATGCAAATGAATAAGACTACATAATAATTGAAGTATTTTTTCTTATGTCGAATCCATAGATGACTTGATAGAGCAGAATGCGATGGACGCTGTGCCTTAAACTTTAAATATCTGCGTCGTCGCTGCTAGAATTTTCAACGAATTTAAATTCAATACAACTAATCGGAGATTTTCGGCCGGATCTTGGTAGCCTGACAACAATACGCCCGTGTGAATCTTCTATACTTTATTTTTTCTCAACGCAGTAAACTGCGCCCCTATTTTTCGTCGGCCTTAAAACACAGCTCATTGTCGGAACAGCAAATCCACATACTTTAAATTTAAATTCGTTCAAGTGGTCATTGAAACAGCCTCTATTGATGACGGATCACGTATTCACGCGCGATTGGGTTTACATGCGCACCGTAGCCGCGAACGTAGATCAACGTCGGCCAGCCACAAAGTGTTAATGAATCCGGCTCGACTGCTCGTTGATCCGTCGTCATCCATGTCTGTCCACCCTTCTTTCCCACCTTGTTGATCGCCCAGGTCTCTCCCTCTTCCTCCCTCCCCCTCCTTCCCCCCCCTCTCTCTATCTCTCTGTCTCTCTGTCTCTCTTCGGTTCCCGAAATATCCCCGTCTATATTTGCTAAGGTAGATCCCATATTTTGGCTCCGCAGTTGGCCACTCGCGGCTGGACGCGGATTAGCACGCGATGGTTATATTTGGGCCCCGTGGGAGCGGGCTGCGACACGGTGGGGAGACCAACGGGGGCACGGGGGCGCGAGCAAAACAGAAACGCGGGGGCGCGGGGGAACAAGGGGGGGGGGGGAGAAAGCTCGCCGACGAATCGAGATCAGGATCGACCTGAGGAAAAGTAGTGGTACGCGATCAACCTTCGGCTACAGCTCTGCGATCGTTCGTCTCTCTCACTCTCTTCTCCACCCTTGTACTTCCTCTTTGTACTCCTTTTCTTTTTCCTCTCGCGCCTTCCGTCCTCCATCCCCAATCGAACCCTTCCAGCTATCCACCACCGGTTTCCTCCCGGTCTCCTTAACGGTTGGACTCTCACTTTCGGCGAAACCCGTGACGTAACTCGGGGTCGATGGCTACCTTCACAGCCACCACGCACATTGTCCTGACCGGAAACGAGCCGCAGAAGTCTCAGGAAGACGATGGTTAGTTCGATCCTTGGGCGGATGTCCTTCTCGCAAACGCCTTCCTCCTGATCCGTTGAGCAGAAAACGCAATATAGCTGTCCTGTGGATGTTCCCGAGTCATATGAATATTACTTGTGGAATAATAATCTATATACTATGCGTCCTGATATCTTATCTTTCCTTATTATATGTAAACTGTAAATTATTTCGTCGCAAAGGTTATTCACTTAAAAATTGTAGGTTTTCTTTGACTTATGACAAAAGGTACAAATCGTAATACGTATAATCGATTTTTTGGGAGAGATTTTTTCCCGAAAAATGTTGGAGACCATGGTTTTATTAAAAGGGACCCTCCGTGTTAGCGGTAGACGAGTGAATCTACGTTATTTAATTCGTTAATTCACGTCGTGCATTGCTTGCTTTCAGGCGAATACAGGGTGGGAATCAAGTTCAACGATCAGCACATCCCTGACTCGCCGCACAAGGTTTACATCTCGCCGGCGATGGGCGACGCGCACAAGCTCGAGGTCGCGCAATTTCCCGAGAGCGGAGTGCAACCTGACAAGCCGTGCACCTTCCTGGTGCGCAAGAACGGCGCGAAAGGCGAACTGGACGCGAAGGTAAAGCCGCCCTTTCCCCGTTGGCTAACACGGACGCCTCGAGGGGCTGTAACGTTGTAACATGGCGCCGCGACACATCCCCTTGCGAAAGAGAGGAGGAGCGCTGTAAATAACTCGCGCGCGTGTGAAACGGCCGTCGTCGCAATAAACCGCGTGGGTGAGACCGCGAGCGTATTTTTACTGTTCGCCGCATGCACATAGCTGGATGAGTCACGTGGAGGATTTCGACACAAAGTGGCAGCATCTCCATCATCCTCGTAACGGCTCCTCTCGGTGGTCGTTCGTTTGAAAATTTCGTTATTTTGTTTTTTTTTACACTCGGCTCTTTGCGGCTCAACGGTGCTATTTGAAAAGCACTAAATTGTGTAATGTTTATTCTTGCCGAAGTAAAATCCTCAGATCGTATAAGAAGTCAAATGCTTCGAAATTGCGCAATATCGAAGAGAAACTTTACGTTGAAAAAAAGCATGAATACTTCTTAGATATTGGGAAGAAAGAAGAGTAAAAAAACTAGTATAAAAGTACACTTTTTTCACAATTGCAAAGTAATCCCTCAACAGAGACTTAATTTTTTAAATCAAATATTCTTATCTCTATACTCTTTTTTTTAATTGCGATACGATAGAGACGTTTTATAATAAATGGTATAAGATTTCTAAGGGCTAACTCGTCGAGTTGCATCAAGCTATCCGTTATGCTTACAGATCGTGTCTCCGAGCGGTGCCCAGGATGACTGCTTCATCCAGAATATCGATGGGGATACGTACTCGGTAAGGTTCATGCCGACGGAGAACGGCATTCACCAAATCCACATGAAATTCAACGGAGTGCATATAACGAACAGTCCGTATCGCGTCAAAGTTGGTAAAGTGGACGCTGACCCGGCGGCGTTGCACGCCTACGGCAACGGCCTGAAGGATATCAAGACCGGTCAGAAGACCGACTTCATCATCGACACGTGCAACGCGGGCAGCGGGGCGCTGGGAGTCACTGTAGATGGACCCAGCAAGGTCGCTATGGACTGCACTGAGGTCGAGGAGGGCTACAAGGTCAGATACACGCCTTTGGTACCGGGCGACTACTACATTAGCATCAAGTACAACGGCTACCACATCGTGGGCTCGCCATACAAGGTTCCTTGTACAGGTGAGTAACACATCCTTATAACCAGGGCTGGGAAAGTTACTTTAGAAAAAGTATTTAGCCACGGTTACAGTTTCTTCGCTAAAAATGTAACTAGTTACAAGTTACCAATTCTGAAAGGTACCGCGTCACAGTTACAGTTACTCAAAAAGTAACGAATCGTTACTTTGCAGGTACTTTCTTGCAATAAAAATATCAAATCAGCATTTGAATTGTAAAGCGTCGATAAGGGCGTTTATGCGCAAGGCCTAATGCGATATGTAGAGGTTTAAAAAATATATAAAGTAACTATTGATGTAAATGAGTGAAGTTACAGTTACAGATGGAGAGAAAGTAATGAAGTTAAGTTAGAGTTACTAAAAAAAAGTAACTGTAACTTCGTTACAAGTAACGAGTTACTTCCCAACCCTGCTTATAACAGCAATGATGTATACACACTTTATAATATATTCTAACACAGAAAGCGGCATTAGATAAAGTAAATATTGTCTATTCCAGGCGCGGATTTGGCGGAAAGAGGTGCGCAAGAGACAAGCTCGATCGTCGTCGAGACCGTGCAAAAGATATCGAAAAGCAAGCAGACTGGACCGATATTGCCGTTGTTCAAGTCCGACGCGGCCAAGGTGACGAGTAAAGGCATGGGTCTCAAGAAATCTTATCTAGGGAAACAAAATCAATTCACCGTGCACGCGGGAGATGCCGGTATGTGGTTGCTATCATAATCCATATTTGTTATCGATCCGATTATAAAAATCTTCTGCAATCAAGCATCGTTAATTTGCCGATCACATTTTATTGCCTATATTTCGCTATTGTAAATCTACATAGATGACAATTTTGAAAACTTACAAGTAGCGTTAAGAGTTGATTAGCTGTTTCTTTTTAATTATCATTCGAAATCATTGACCAGTGTCGTAATTACAGGTAACAATATTCTTTATGTGGGCGTATACGGGCCCAAAGGGCCGTGCGAGGAAGTCTACGTGAAACACACGGGCCGCAACAATTACAATGTGAGTTACCTACCGCGCGAGCGGGGCGAGTACATCGTGATCGTCAAATGGGGCGACGATCACATTCCCGGTTCGCCCTACAAAGTTGAAGTTTAAGCCGGACCAACAGCCCGACTAGACGCAACGCGTCTGCAACCGCAGCGACGGTCAATAAAATAGAGCCATGCGTCGTACTTTCGTTGTAAACTACACGGGTCCTCGAGTTCACATTCAACCTCGCCAAAAAAAGAAACAAATTAAGTGCCAATTTAGATTTGCGATCGTAAACTCGTAACTCGATATCAACTATTGGCGAGAAATATCTAAAAGCGATCCGGCCTACGTCGAAACGACATGTGTTATCTCGATTTTTAGAATAGCAGTCATATACAGAAGACAACTATGACACTGACGATAAACTCGCGTTGTGACTTCTCGTCGACATAGTTCATTCGCTTATCCTTCCAAGGTCCTCGGAACATAATGTTGGATATTTTAAAAATTGACGATTTTTCTTAAACAAATTATTGTATATATGTATATTATATGTACAATATACAATACAATTGTATTGTATATTATATATACAATATACAATACAAAACAAATAGAATTGTCATTAGAAATGACGAAAAATTAAAATGACGACGAAATACGTAGGTCAATTACTTGTTGTTTGTTCAAAAACACCAATTGTGCCTTTGATTCGATGTAAGCATAATATATACAGAGATATATTTCACAGATTCACACACACATGCAGTATCATATACAAAGCCACACGCAAAGACGCTGTCATGTCTCATTCAAGTCAGATCCTGATTACATTATGTTATATTATCGGTTATTGAACAAAGAAATATTCGGAACTGTTCCTTATTGATTCTAGTCGGCTTTGGACATATTATAAAACAGCTAAAAATGAAAGAAACATATATTTTTACATGTTTTTTCGTATACTTGAAGGTTAAAACAATAGCTCTCAATGGCTCGATTTTAATTTCAATAATAATGTAAGAAGAGAGATATATTAAAAATATATTTTCCAACATCTAAATGCATTATTATGAAATACATAAAATATCATATTTTTCTTAGAAAATTTTGTTTGTATATCGTACAATTTCAATTATTGTAACATTCGACCAAAATTAAGAAATGCAACTTAGAAGAATTGTTTCCATCTCTAAACGAAAAAAGTATTGTGTAAAAAGACATGTCTCATAGTTTTAGCAGTTCTAAAATGTATCCAAAATTCCTCAAAATCGACGAGGAACAATTTCGATCGTTTCTTTATAAGTATAGATTAAATATATTGCAACTGATTATTATAATAATATAAAATAGAAGTTAAATAAATAATATATTTATTATATGGACTTTTCGTTTACCATCTTATCCTTGTGAGAAAGCATGTTTCTTGTCTGCGTGACAGTAAGCGTGCGATGCATGCTGTTCTTCGAATAATTGCATCCAGCAGATAGAATAACATTTAGAAGTTAGATAAAAAGTATATTTTCGAGCAAAACAAACATTTAAAAAATGTTATAATTCAATTAATTTTTCGAAAATTATTCTCGAACTTTATTTCCAAAGACAGAATACGGTTTTATTTCATTTAGCTAATAGAAAAAAAATTGCGAAAGCAGTTTTTTACGAATTAGTTGCGCTAGTTTATTATTTACGTTGTTTAGCTCGGTATTACTTTCGAAAGTTACCATGCAGATATACATGGAAAACAATTTTGATAACAAAAAATAATCGGAGAGAAGTATGATAATATTATCTACGAAGTTGTCAAGCAGCTCTTCTATTTTACGTTTGATGCATAATTTTCTGCAAAAAGGAAAATATGTCTTATACATATAATTCCAAGCTCAGTTTTACGAAACCAGCGAATCGCTCTTGTTACATCGCGCAGTACCGTTTCTCTCATTAATATTACATTATTCCAAGTCTTTCCCATGCGTTTAAGCCACGTTGCACTTTCTGCTTTTTGCTTTCGTTTCTTATTAAATAGATTGCCCGTCAAAATAACAAGAAAAGAACGAATGTGTCCGGATTAAATATGATTGCCCATTTAATCATCGTGCTTTCAGCGGACAGTTTATATCGCACGTTTATGACAAAAAAAATAAAATAAAGAAGCGGCCTTTTCATTTACAAATGTGATAACAATGAATGGTCGGCGATTATTTCGAAAATTAGTTGCCGAAGCTTTCGCGGCAGCTCCTGTCGAATGCATTTGCATACAACAGGAAGCCCACCGCAGGTAACTTGTCTCGTCCTGTATTGCACCTGTAGACCATGAATAACGTTACAGCTGCATGTCGTATTCACAGTGGCATTAGTTTCCCACTCTCTTGCCTGCAATATTTCTATCAATAAGTAATTACGTATACTTTTCTTATTTATCTTGATGAACGAAGAGTTGTTGCGTGCAATCTCGATATGAAACTCATTCGCGCGCGGGCAAATTTTGATTAAATGATTAAATTGTTACTACCGCGTGGTCATTTTTAAGACAATTGGCCACAAAAACTCATACGAAACAGTCCAATCAGTCTTTGAAGTAAATGTAAAATTTTTACTTTACTTAACAATCATGCGACTCGCGAAATCTTTTACTTATAAAAACGAGGAGCAAAGCAATTTTTTTCAACATTTAGCGATATTAATAGAGATAAATTTCCACCTAGATGTAATTTTACAACTTTGCAATAAGTCTTGCTTTATTTCTATTTTATATCAAAAATTTACTTTTTAAAAGCGCACATTTTTTCCCTGCTAAGTGATTCTGGCATAAAATTTTTTAACATGCAGCTTTGGGTCGCCGTCGTAGCTTTGAATTTAATGACAAAAGTCAATTGTAAAAATTACGAATTTCTGTATTGTAACATTTACAAAAATAACCATTGTTATGGCAATCGTTATCGATTTTTCGAGATTTGTAAAGGTTGGAAGAAGTGTATTATATGCATACGCGGTTTAATCCTCGATGTTCAAGTCCTTCTCTTACTATTATAAAAATGTTAACTTTCTGGCTGTGTTAACTCATAAGTACACGCAGACTATCGTCTCATCACTCGCCGTCTCTTATCGCCTCCAATTAATCTCACGCAGGCAGACATCGAATTTGGCAAACCTTCACCAAGCGTGTACGAAAATATTCGGTCCGCCGCGCGTTTCTCGCTCTCAATTTGCGTACGCGTGTTCTTACTCTTTCGGGAGAGAGAAGTTCGCGGACAAAGATGGGGAACGGTTCGAAAAAAGCAGCGCGATTGGAAGGGTTGCGCGACGTGGCGGCCGGAGGGGGTGAGGGGCGAGAGACGCGAGAGCGACGAGAAGGAGCGACGCGTGGAAGACGCTGCGAGGATTGCGCACCTGATCCTCTCTCCCGGCTTTCGCGGCGACGCCCGCGAAGGTGCCGCAGGACGAGGGGACCGAGCGGCGGGCACGGGAGGACCTCTCAGACGCGGCCTGCCCCCCCTTCGGCGAAAGGGGGCGGTAACGCGCGGTGCGAATCGAGTCCGCAGGCGTCGGAAGCGGGTGGCCGACTTGCGCCGTGTGCAGGCCCGTCATCCCTTCCGCTCGCGGGGTTCGCCGAGCGAGAAACACGCCCCGCTGTGACGGTGTTACGGCCTCCTCCGGGGCCGACGAAGTCGCGGAACGTTGCCAGACCGCAGACGCTCGCGGGCGGTTGTCACGTGCGGCCGCGCGGCCTTGGAGTCCTGTAGTCTCTCTGGGCCGCTGGGGCTCGATTCTTGAATTTATTCGAAGGAGAAACGTATACGCGAAAATTCGGCTCTTACAGAAAAGTTGCAAAGTTGATTTGGCCATTCGCATGGATTTTAACCGATCGACTCTTAACTGTTCTGTGAGGGCAGAATTTTCGTTTCTCTTTCGAAGTAATTCAAGAATCGAGCCCCTGATCCGCCGCCACGGTCGTGGACCACAATTGCGAGAGACGTTTGCTCGAAATGTCGCCAAAGTCCAATTGTATAATTGCCATCGTAGACTTGCGCTGTTGGACTAGCTTTCTCCCTTCCACTATATCGAGCGATCATCAGGCGATAACTTTAAAATCATATTAAAATGCGTTGAAACAAATAATGCCACGCGATGCACGTAGATTCTATTTCCAGACTATCAAGATAATCTATCAATCATTCGTTATATTCATTCGATTTGCCATTTCGATCTAATCGTCACGTTTCCTGTTTAACACTTATACCAGCCACTCCCAGTTACCTCCACACTTACTTACTCAGAAGCGTATTCTAACGAAGGTAAGCTGCAGAGACCTGGCTGGGGCTAGCGCGAGAGCGAGGAAAATTTCCAATCGACAATTTCCTATTGCGCGAGTGGTACGAATGAGAGTTTCAAAGATTTAACTTAAAAAAAAATGAAAGATTTGACTTCCCCTATAATTGTATTTCTTGATTAATTCAAGAATCTACTTCTTATAGCAAGACGTGAATTACCTATTGATGGACGCGATGTGTTAAAAGATTATGAAGCCCGACCTATCTACAATGAGCTCTTTGCGTCTAGGAACATTTTATTCTGTAACCAATAAACACATTTAAAAAATTTGCGCGTATTGATAAAACTGTATGTTATACATTGCGCAATCGTGCATTGTCGACAAATTTTTTAAGCATATCGACTTGCCTGTGTAAAATAGAATGTTTCTCGTTGCGAAAAACACATTGTAGATTAGACTCAAAAAGTATTAGGCATTCAAGAAAGTCGAAAGAGAAATCTGTTTAGTGCAACTCTGCGTTTTATACCTGCTTGATATTAGCGAATCGTTTGCGCTGCGTTGTATAACGTTTTGAAAAAAAATGACGAATTCACGGCACGTCACGTAACATAATGTAATAAATTGTTTATCGCGGCGCCGGGAATAAATCTGCAATAGATAAAAAATTCAGGAAGAGCGTCGATCTCTCCCTGACGCTATCTTCGAAATATCCTTCGGGGCTATGTCCGCATTTTATCCGCCGCTATTAAGATCGCCTACGTTTATCTCCGGGTTTCTCCCATGGGTCTATATCTACGATATTACCCAGCACCGTCCACAACAAAGTATCGCCGACAGTTTCGACGGTAACCCCGAGCGTTTCCATTTCTATGCAGCAGGATGGAATAGAGTTCAATGACTCGGAAGGGCGAGGGAAGGTGGTGGCGGCAGGAGGGGGAGGGCGGGGGGGGGAGGCAGAGGCGTCTTTCGCGGCGCTCCGCGGGATTGACTGCGGGCAGACGAGCTCGGGGCGAGCTTCTCGCACGTGAACTCGCGCGTAAGTAGGAAAACGCGTCGCGGCGCGACGGAGAGCACGATGGAGGGAGAGGCGGAGCTTTCGCCGCCTCCACCTACGAGCCCACCTTTCACGGGAGGTATGTCGCTCGGCCGGATTTCCCGGACCTTTTCCACAACCGTGCTCCTCTCGCTCTCTCTTCCTTCCTTTTTTTCCCCCCCCGTTCCCACCACCACCGTCCACCTCCACCGCGGGGAGCAGCCCCCACATTTTCCTTCATCGACTGCCTCTTACCCGGCGGTGGTGAATCCGCACCAGCCCCAGCCCAGGTCTCTGCAGCTTACCTTCTTTAGAATACGCTTCTGGGTAAGTATG